CGAGTGTTCTCTAGCCAACCAGTTCTTAGCCATAGCTGTCGCCTGGTGAAATATTTGTCCTAGACCTTTAACGTCTCTGGCAGTTGGCTGCTGGTCAATTGCATTGCGCTTCGGCTGACAGTCGGACCGTCGCTTGACTGGCTTTTAATTACGCACAATTACCAGAAACGAGTTTGTTGCCCAAGTCATTCGTTTTGGTGGCCAATAAAACAACGCGTAAGCGTTCGCGTTCGCACTTGCCGCCTCGCGGAGGGGAAATCTCCACCGCAAAGTCGGTCAGAGTTGAAAGTATTTTACATACGAATTGTCGAAGTGGTAATAACGATTCAGTTACCAGTTGCGGCCAGCAGTGGCCAGCAGCAGCCTGCATTTGGGCCGTTGGCCCGCCCCGGCCGCCCGAGTTGTCTTGGCCATAATTGTTCGCTGCTGGAGCTGTCGTTGTCGTTTTTGCCGAGCTGCCACAAACAAAAACAGCAGACAACAACAACAAAACTGCAAGACATTGCAACAATCAAATTAAAGTTACATTACATAAGGGGCTAGGCTTTGATGTTGTACGACGACGACTACGACGACGCTATTGTGTCTGACCAGAAGAGATACCAAGAGACACAAACAGAGGGAGCGAGAGAGAGGGGGAGAAGTCTGGAGCGAGCGCGGGAGAGAGACTTGTTTGTCTTAACTAGGGATGGGAGCCGGCTGAGTTTTTGAGGCAGGCACATCCCAGGAACATTTGTCACGGGCACACGTTGCTCAACATTAAGATACCTGAGAGTCGTTTTCTTTACACGTATGCGGCATGGGGAATATTGGAAACAATCTTGATTCAGTGTGATATCATAGAATGCTGCAAACAACATCTAATAGCTCAAACGCTATAGTCTCTGAGATCTAGGTTTCAAACAGGTATAATAAACATGCACATGGTACAAACATTATGGGGCATGTAGCATCTAGCATCTATCCCCTAGTACTCTAGACGTGTATATTGTTTGCCAAAATCGGCATTGATAGAGAAATTTAGAGACTTAAGCGCTCAAACTGAGCCTTTTTGCAAGGGAAGTCTCGTTTACTGGCAAAAACTGGCACGAAATGCAGCTTTGAGGCACGACGAAGCCATGCCCATCTCTAGGCTGTTGTAAATGTTGCTGCTGTTGAGGCGACTCGGGGTTTTTTTGTTTTTCTTGTGCAATTTCGGGGTCCACTTCTTCTTCACCGCTTCGATAAGCCATATATTTACATCCACAGCAAAGGCAAAGCAAAAGCAAAGGCAAGAAATATTTTGTAGATGGGAAAGCCGTAGAAATTATGTTGCGTGACGTTTCAATTCGCACAAAGACTGTAATTGGGTCTGTTACCTCGTCTCCAAGCTCCAGTCTCCAGTCCCCACTCTCCCCTTTCGCCTCTGCAAAGTCCCAGTCCCGAACAAAAGTCGGCTAAGTATATTGGCCTAAAAATTAAACAAAAGCCGTTGTGTGTTGCATTGTGACCAACTAATGACCAGAAAACAGGCTGCCAAATCGCAGCCGAAATGGAACCAATGCCTCGAACCTCGATCAATTGTCAGTTTTTTAACATTTGGCTTCGTTTTTTGGCACAATCACCTGTCGCACCTCCTCCTCTGTGCCGGTCTGTGCCGGTCTGTGCCGCTCTTTACCGCTCTGGGGAAACAGGTGAAATGCAACACGAGGTCAATTTGGGATTTGGTAATTTTTACAGCCAACAGAAATAATAATAATATGTAATAACTAAAAGCAACAATCGAAACAACGGAAAACAGACAAGCAGCCAAACAGACACAAAGAAAAAGCAAATACGTTGCAATTTATAATTTTTCTTTTCCTGGAATATTTGCAAATCAAAAAAGAGCAACAACAAATGAGATACAAATTGTGAAAGCTTTTTTTTGAGGAAGTTTGCAGATCGCACGATGGCGATGCTCCGGGTTGATGAAGTCTTGTGCCAATATTTGCACTTCCTCTTAGACTTTTGCCGAACCCGGCCGGGGTTCGTCCGGTGTTTGCCCCTTGCCACACGGCAAACGAACCGCGAAAGAAACGGCAAATGGCATCACAAATTAGACAAACGCCAAAGAAGTCACCGCAAACAAAAATTGAACTTCAACTCCAGAAAGGGCGTTCGTCTATTTTTGTTTTGGTGAAGTTCCAAGAACGGGACCCGGAAAGATCATTAATTATGAATATTTATGTTGCGATTCGATAATACTCTTATGACATTCTGTGCACTCATATTTCTGCATGCTAATAACCAGGAATTTTCCTCATTTTTGCATAGTTTTCTTAAGGAGATGTGCACTTATAAGTTTCGTTTCCAAAACCCCAAACAATCGCAGAATCGTAGCGGAATGCAGCCTTCCACTTGACACCATCATCGGCCTGGCGTTCTTCTGTCATGGGCCGTGCATTTTCAACCTTCAACTTAGCCAAAGTCTTTCATCTGGCAATCGGGTTTTAGCAAATCGGGCAGAAAATCATCGAAGCGTAGCTGCCAGCAGGCAAAATGCAGGCAAAAAACACATGTACGCACACACACACACAGAAAAAAGTGGCGGCTAACTGCAGCAAAATGCTAACACGGCCACAATTTATTAGCCATTGATCTTGGCCATCGGTCGCCTTGTGCACCAGATACTGCGATAGACCGCAGCAAACCAGTGGCTGGAAATGATGTCCGAAGCGTTTAAATACCAATTTCCAACCAGTTAAAAGAGCCCCAAGAGCTCCAAAGACCTGACGACATATGGATTCAGAGTCCGGTTTATGTTTCGGTTTCGTTTTCGTTTGCGGCGGCGGCCAACAGGAAAAACTGTGCTGGTGGCCCTGGTGCTGGCGGTGGTGGCGCTCATGTAATAATGCTTACATGAAGACATTGACATAGATGCCGCCGAAAGCCACCTCCCCAGCTCCCCCACAGACATTTCCAACAGAGAAGCAAGACAGCAGCCACTTTTCACTTGAGCGAAAGTGAAGTGAAGCGAAATGTATAAACTGTGGAAATACAGAGGAGGATATCGGGGCAATATTGCACTGGGAAGTGAGCCTAAATGGTAGAGAAGAATAGGGAAAATCTGGGGTTATGAAAGGGGTAAGGAAAGAAACTGCTTCTATGATAATATCTGATATTGATAATAGATGGCCGAAGGGTGCATAAGATGTATCGATACTTTTCAGGGATTCACCCCAAAAAGTCAACAATGCCATGGATTCAACTTTTCAGCTTTTTCCACTATTTTCCCCGGGGTGCGATTCAATCGCAGTCTTTCTTTCTCTCTCTGAACTGCTGAACTTGAACTGAATCGGTGGATCGAGGGAAAAGGCCTCGTAAAAGATCGCTTGCAGCGATTACTTACGATTACGATTACTCGTACGATTACGATTACGATTACGATTATGCTCACTTTCCGGGCCCATGGTGCAACGCTTTTTGGTCGTAATAAAAAAAAGAAACTTTGAAAGAAACCCAAACACTTTTATTTTTTTCTCGGTGTGTGTTTTTCTCTCTCCCTCTCCCGCTCTTTCTCTTTTTTCTTTATTTTTTTTCTTCATGGATTCGTCTTTGCACCAGCATTTTTTTCGTGTTAATTGATTACATAACCAGCGCAACAGACACACACACACATACACCTCACATACGGCACTCTCGGATAGGCTCTGGGACAGTGAGTGAGTCTGTGAGTGAGTGAGTGGCTTAGTGGGCAACGACGTACGTACATACGTCAGTTGGTCAGTGGGGTTTCGGTCTCAGGTTGCTGGAATCGATAGGATTGGGGCTGGACGGCGGTGGTGGCTGCGGCTGCGCAACCAAAAAGAAAAGTCCAATATAAATAAAACGAGTCGCACCACATTTATTCATAATTTCTGCCTGCCTGCTCCGCTCCGCTCTGGTCCGTTCCGATCCGATCCGATCCGCCGTTGTGTTTACTTTGGTTAGCTTTCGACAGTAAAAAAGAACTGCACACAGCTGCTCCCAGCTGATCCGACAATCTGCAAGCAGTGCAATGCAAGCAGTGCATTTTTACCATTTAACCGTTATTCAATAAAAATCGCCACAGACATAATTGGTGGAAAAACAAAAAGAAGGAAAACCAATTTGCCCAAAATTTAGCGTAGAAAAATTAACTGGAAAATCAAAGTCGAAAAAATCGACTGCACTAGCCAAAAATTTGATTGAGTTGTTGCTTCTGGCTGCTGCTGCTGCCACTGCAGCAAGACCGGGGCAAGAACTAATTGCGACCTTGGCGATCGGGTATCGCGATCGTATCGTATCGTACGAGTATCGTGCACTTATGTAGATTGTGTGCTTCTGGGCGAGTTCGTCTATTTGCGATCAGAGCATGCGCCACGCCACGCCACGCCACGCCTCGCCACAACAAGTCGCCACCGATCTGCAAAGCTGCGATCCGGCGATCGGCGAATGGCACGTTTAATGTGCGAACGTGGGCCGCGGGCAGAGACATACGGTAGAAGAGATCGAATGCATCGAATGAGTCGCGCCACAACAGATACTTTACCAACAATAATCTTAAGCCGAAACCATTCCGACGGTGAGGAAACTGCGATATGATATGATGGGAATAAGTGTGAAATTCATTAAAAACCTTCCCAAAAAAACTAGATATTCGAAGTATTCGAATTATAACCACCTGGTTCTTGGTCTATGATCGTTCTGCTATAGTTCCTAAGCTAATGTCATCGATTGATATCTGATCTTTAGCGGAAATTCTCTAATGTTTGGAAATTTGCTTGATATGAAGCAAGGAAGATTAGATTTCATTCTGACCTGCTACCTGATAACACTCGCAGACTTGGAGTAATTTGTTAAGTGAGGGATATTCCTTGCCTAATAATGGAATTTTAAGGTATGCTTAAGCTACGATTTTGAAATCTTTAAATGATCCCAGCTAAACGAGATATGGGTTATAATTTAAAGTGATCTATGTAGAAGGATCCTCCTAGAGAACTTATTAGAATTGGACTTACTTTTGACGGCCCACATCTTGGAGTCGGTGAGGCCGCTCAGATAGTTTCGCATGTCCCTGCTGCAGTTGGAGCCGAGGGCGCCGGAGGCCTCCAGGCTGCTCCACTGATCCGCCAGCAGAGTCAGATCGAACACGTTGAGGGCATCGCGCAGACGGCGGGCGTGTGCCAGATCGATGGCGGATGGCAGCGGTGGTTCGTTGGTGGTGGGGAGGGGGGGAGCGAGGCCCGGGTGCAGGCTCAGGTTAATCACGTTGTGCTGGTCGCCGGTGATGTTGTGCCTCACAGAGGAGGAGGAGGACTGCTTGCCCTCGTCCTTGTCGATGGCCGCCTGGGGGGTGGCCAGGAGCGAAAGCAGCATCGCCAGCACTAGCATCGTCTGCTGGTGACCCATCATTACCATTCGGGTGAAGATGGTATGATGGTGGATGGTGTGTCGGTGTCTGTGGGTCTGGGTGTGTGTGAGTGGCCCACAAATTGATCGGGCACGTTCCTGCGACGTCTCTGCGCTCAACGGCCTGCCTCACTTTCACTCAGAAAATACACTCACAGAAAAAAAGAATATGCAAACACCACAAAAAAAGTATCCAATGTCGGTTCGGGCTGGTGCTAAATGAAATATTTACATATATATTGTAAATGATCTTTCTTCTTATATCATTTTCACCAGAAACAAAAACAAAATGCAACGACAAAAAAATTGATAGCCCACGAAACTCCTTTCTTCTTTTGTTTTCTATTTTCCAGTGTAGCTTTTGGGGGCTCTGGGAACTTCCTCTTTGTGTTTGTTTTTTTGTATTTTGCTTTGATTTATTTTTTTAACTTTTTTGGCACTTTTACTTTTGTTTTGTGTCGTTTCGGGCAGGCTGGGCAGGGGGTTGGGGCACACACGCGCTGGGCTCGAGATTTTTTGGGGAGATTTTTGGAAGATTTTTGGGAACTGCGACAAGCGACGACCGCCTGGATTGAACGCACGTCTACGAATCGCGACTGCGCGTCTTGAGCAGCTGTAAAAATATGTGAAAAATTTAAAAAACGCAGCCCCAAAAAAGTAGGCGTCGCAGCAGTAGTGGCAGCAGCCGCAGCAGCCGCAGCAGCAGCAGCAGCAGCCAAGGCAGCGACGCGTGAGAGCCCCCCAAAAAGATCTCAAACTCAAACTCAAGCTCAAGCTCTCCCCAGCCCAGCTTTGAGCTTGAAAGCGCAAGTGAGCGCCCGAGTGCCAACGATGTACCGTTAGCGGTAGGCCAACGAAAGTGCCGCCGAAAGAAATGAGAGAGAGAGAGAGAGAGAGAGCCACAAATGCTGCGGAGCTTGAGAGAGCGACAGCGCGCGAGAGAGAGAGAGCTTGGAAGAGCTGTCTCGTACGAAAAGCAAAAGCCCTGCGTCATCGGCTATGTTGTAATCGCGTTGTATTTATGTATGTTGCACGTGCATGTTTGCATGTGTGCATGTGTGTGTGCCAGTGTGTGAGTGTTGCAAAAGTGGCCGCAAAAATGAAATTAGCCATTGATATTTGAATATGGTCAAAAGCGGGATGGATGCAATCGACTAGTGAGTGAGTGGATGGATGGATGGATGGATGGATGGACAGCCGAATGCCTTCGAAGTGGGTCAAATGAGTGCACTCACATGTAAATGAAGTGAATAAGTAAGTACCTTGAGGATCACACAAGAATGCATGCATAATAATGATTGAGTAAATGGAAGTTAATGAGGGAATTGGTAACAAGAAAGGAAGGCTACGTGTATGTACATATGTATGTATATATACCCGAATGGGTATCCCTAAAAGATCGAACTGCGAACCTAAAAGATTCAACTTCCGCATAAGCGAGCGGATACATTTTTCACGAATAGCCAGAACAGGAACCATTCGATAGATCGAAACAGATTCGGTGTTTTTATCGTACACTTTCATACCTCGAACACTGATTTGATCCGATAATTCTTTGTGTAAAAAAACGTATTGAATTTTAAAGATATCCCCCTCCGCAATTATTTGTAAATTTGTTTTGTCAGTGTATCTCTGATAAGCAGACACCTCTTTTGGGCGGCAAATCCAGACTGTAACCCGTGGGTGTCTGCCCGAAATAGCTCTAATTATCCGTACATTCACTCTATACAGAGCAAAATAAAATCCAAATCTTAATAGCAAAGCAAAGCAGACATAACTAGATTGAAACTCAATGTCCAAAATATCATAAGAAGTTCAAACTAGAAAGTTAATTACGATTATACAATCTGTAATGTTCCACGAATGGGGTAATGGAACATTGTATGGTACTATCATAGGTTGGTTTTTCTCAGTGCAGAGCTACACAAATCCCCGGTCCATTCCAATTTCCAGTCAAAACGACAGGAATGGAGGAATGCCGAGAAATGTTGCAAGAGATGGAACAATTGTTGTTGCTGTTGCGATATTGGTGACCCATTTTACAAACAGATACTCGCACAGATGCAATCAGAGACACTTGCACCTGGCGCAGCCTGCCTCCCTCCCCTCCCCTCCCCTGCTCACTCCCTCTCTATCTGTCCTCTTTCGAGCTGCAACAAGTGGCTTGGGCTCCCTCTGGCTTTCTGGCTTCCCCCCCTCGAAACGAAACACTTGTATTGTGCAATCCATGAAACGTCAAACGTCGCGTGCAATGGTTTTTCAATTTTTTATCCACAATTTTGCAAATAAAAAGTTGGGAACAGGCCACGGTCCACGGTCCACAGTCCACGGTCCTCGGTCCAGGCAAGATCTGCAGCAGCCACAAAGAGATGGGGACTGCTGGCCAGAAAGAGAGGGAGCCTAATCGATGGCTGCAGCTACCGTTAGGCATGCATTCGTATTTACAAAAGGAAACCAGTTCTTGGTGCAGCAGCAGCATCAGGAAAAGAAGGGGATGGGGAGGGGAAGAGGGCTGATGAAGAATGGGGAGAGGAAAAGGTATAAGGGGAAGACGAAAATGTTGCAAAAAAAAATTAAATGTTAACAGCCTTTGGAAGTGGAATCGAATGCACAATGATTGAGGCAAAAAAGAAACATGAAATTTCAGCCTTTACTTAAGGTCTGCCTCAAGACGACGAGAGAGAGAGAGATAAGAAGGAGAAGAAGACACATACATGCACAAGAAGAACAACCAAAAGAGTGGGAAGTAGCAGCAGAAGATTTTCAAAAACAGTAAACTGGTTTCCGGGCTACCAATAAACACCAAAAACTGCATTCAGAAGCGCACAGACGGCGACATCTCTTCTTCGTTCAATAAACTCCAAAGTTCAAAATCACTCAGCGGTGAAAGGGGGCTGCCCCACAGAGAGGTGTGGGGTTCATTTCGATACGGTATTGATGAACTCTGTGAGAGTTTTGCAATGCTCATTAGAGATGACTTTATGTAACGACTATTCAAAGTTCTTGGATGAAGTCGAGGATTTTGATAGCCCCTTATCTCGAAGGGTAGATTTCTCTGGAAGGGATCTGTAAGCAGAATGGGTTGTGGTGATTAGCATATTTATGCAGAAGGGTATGTAAAAAGTGTCTGCAAAATCGTTGTACCCTCTGCAAGGAAGGGTATACCGGTGTCTCACCAAGCAGATGGAGAGTCAGGCCGATGGAGGAGGGGACTGAGTGGAGTGGGTCTAGTAGGGCCAGCGAGACCAGAGAAAGAGAGCAATGGGCATGAATGAAGATGCAAATGAAATCACACCGATTTTTAAGGTTAGGCCCATGTCAGGGGGGAGGAGGAGATTGACGACGGAAGGAGCGGCTCTGTCCGGTCTGTCGGGTCGTTCGGTACACGTAAGGTCTGTGTCTGTATGCTCTGTGAGCGAAAACCTGTCGCGCTCTTGCCCCTGCCCTAAACGGGCCAGGTCGAGCTCATATCTTAATGAGAAAAGTGAAAGTGTCAAGAAATACTCGTAAGCAAAGCAGCACCGCAGCCAACAGCCGCAACAACCATTCGGTTAACAGTGAATAAATAATAACGCATCACTAAACAAAGTTGAAACACAAATTTCCATCACTTCGTCTGGGCGCCCTCGACGACGATTAATAATGATTATGTCTAGTTATCAATTAGCTAATCGACAACTGGAATTGACCCGAAAACTCACTGCCCGATCAGATCGATCAGAAGAGCCCCACCAATAGTCAGAGTCAGTGCCGCAAGTCTTTGGGAATTGATATAAAAATTTTGATTATTTCATTACAAATTCGATCGATCTGTCGACTACAACAAATAAGATCGTCTTCATAGTTTACTTGGTGTAAGAATATTTGAGACTTGCTGCCAAGGAAAAACGGACTTAGACACAATTGAAATGATATCTATGGCCATAAATTGATTGATTATGTGTGAAATATCATTTGGTATGCTTCATATCTTTCAATACCTTTTGTGGTATGTAAATTTCTGTGTCTTCAGATTCATTCATTCATGCAATCATTCGAAATTGGTAAATTAAAAATGTAGTACAAACATATATTTTTCGATATTCGGACATCATTTTCTGCTCTTAAAGATACCCTTTACATTTCTTACGAATTTGTATGATTTATATGTTTTGGAATCTAGTTTAATTAAAATTATAAACAAAATGCCCTAAGAGAGCAATTTCCGGGCTTCTTCGTGTGAAATGAGGTGTCTTTTAAGGATCACCATCTGACAGACCCTTCCAGTATATAGCCACCCCTTCGAAGGGAACGCCTCTGATCACCTCTGATCGCCTCTGTGGGTATGCTCATTTGATTCTCCTCTTTTTTTCGAGTGCGTGGGGCAGGTTGGCACTTGAAAATCATTCGACCAAATAGTTGCACATTTTCACATAGGTTTTTTTTTCAACAGCAACAGCTTTTTTTTTTGTTTTGATCGCTTGGCCCTCCAAATATGTTATTGTTGTGGTAGTTTTGTGTTTGTTTTTTGTTTTTGTTGCGGCTGTTGCGTCACGTTTGACACTTTGACCATGAACGCATTTCTTGGCAGGGAAAAACGGACGGCAATTTGGAAAGAGAGAGCGAATGTGAGTGTGAGTGAGAGCGATAGATGGAGAGAGAGAGAGAGAGAGACAGAGAGAGAGAGAGAGAGAGAGCGAGGGGGTCGAATGAACGGATGAAATTGAACCGAATGTTGGTCGTAACTTCGTTTCATGTCGCTGTTTCTTACTTCATCTTCCCATTTTTTTTCCGTCGTTTTTTTTTCCTTTGATAATTACTTCATTTGCAATCTCTCGTGGGGCAATAGAAGAAACTACCGTTAATTAAAAACGCAAACGCACTGGCAAATGAGCGCAGATTGGGCGAGCGAGAGGGAAGAAGGAGCACTGAAGAGAGTGGAGAGTGGAGAGCGGAGTGCAGCGTCAGCTACACTGCGAAAAATATTGAACAGTATTCGATAATCAAATCGGATACAGATGTTGATATTGATTTGGGTATAGACATAGGTAGATTTGTGTATATCTCGCTACAGATATACAGTATTGTATTTTTGGAATGCAAATATTGATTTCGAAGCGTTTTTCCGTCAGTGCCGCGGAGATAGCTAGAGAGAGAGAGAGAGAGAGAGAGAGGAGGCCAGGCCCGCTGGCGGGTCTGTTACAACAGCGGCGCCAAAATATTTTCACTTGACTCTTGCGGCTTGCGGCTGTCTGTTTTATGGCCGCTTTATGGGAAGTGGAAGTGCGAAGAGGCGAGGGAGAGCGGCCACGGGTACGGGTACGGGTACGGGTACGGGGGGCACCATCGTTATGCAATGAAGAGAAAATTGACAATAAGACAAAGCGCAAAATACAAACAAAACCGCGTGAGAGACTGCGACACAAAAACTGCAATGTCACTTACCCATTATTAATGCCCCGGCCCAAACAGGTGGGGTACTGGGCTAGTGGAGACCTGGAGACAGACGACGTCATCCTCCGCGGTGGAGAGACGCCCGGGAAGACGTCGCACGCCCGAACTGTGCCACGATAATGCGTGTGGAGTCTGGGGCTGGGGCTGGGGCTGGGGCTGTTTCGGAATGCCCGATGTGCAAGTGCATGTGGTTACGAGCACAATCGTGTATACTTATCCCATAATATGTTAGAGATGAGCCTCAACCGCGATATCCCCGTGACACGCCAGGGCCGTTCTTTAACACAGTGCTTTTTGCTCACAGAAAACGATTAAATTTGCACAGATTGTACTTACATCCAATCATAGTTGATGCCGCCATAAACAGATGCATGTGGTTCACATCCACCGATTGCTTAAGCACTCTAGCTATGAATATGCTTTATATTACATTTTTCATGTATATAAGTAGGAAACCTATCATGGGTCTGATCAAGAGATCAGGGCATACTATCGCGTAAATGGGTGTGGATTCATGAGAGATTTTCCTCAGTAGAGGAACCGTTCAATCCCAGCCCGGTCCATATCCCTGAACAGAGCTAGTGTCCTAGTGTATCCTAGTATATCCCACCCATACAGTGATAATAATGCTAATTATTTCTTGTTTCTTTTCAAATTCTCTTTAATTTATAATTCTCGTTTTTGTTTTTTTTTTGTTTTAGCATTGCTGCTGATTTTACATATGCATTCTCAGTGTATAGTACGTACATACATATGTATTTAGTGGAACCAATCGAATCGTTAAATTATACGCAAATTGCACGCAACGAAATGATTACACACGGCTATGGCTATTGTTCTTAACAGTTTTTTAGTTTTAGTGGTTACAGCAGGGGGTATACGAGTAGTGCCCAATTCACATTGGTTTTCCATTCGGTTCTGGCTTGGGTTTCCCCTTTGACAGTGGCACACACACAAGCAATTGTCATACACTTCATATACATATGTTTTTCCTTTGGTTTTGCTTCTTGGTTTTTCTTTGGTTTGGTTTGCTTTGATTTAATTTTGTTTTTCCAGTGTTTCTTTTTGTACCTTTGTACCTGCATGGGGCTAAAAGCAAATTTACTTAGTTCTGCATTTCGTTTACCTTTATGGCTATAATTTTTTAAAATTTAATTTGCTTCGTCTGCAACTTTGTCTAATTTGGTTTTTGGTTTTTCTATTTTTCGCTTGTCGCTTGCTTTGCTTTAATTAACTTATGCTCTGTAGCATTTTTACCTAATTATTAATCAACAAGAAAAACACTCTTTATGCGATAGGTTGCCTTACTCTGCTCATCAAACAAACAAACAGAGGGAAAAGAGGGAACACACTCAACTAAAAACTGAAAACGAATACGGTTTCATTTGATTTCAGTGTACATCAAGCAGCTACAATACAAAATTACAATTACAAAAAAATAAACGGTTCAAAACTACTAGCGCATTAACCTATAAACTTTATGTTTGCGTTTGCTTATAATTTTATTTTATTGGTATTTTTATGCATGCGTTTCCTTTTCCTTTTCCTTTATCTTTATCTTTATCGTTTTTCATTTTCCCTTTTCGGTTTCTTGAGTTGTTAGTAGGCTTAAGTAATTATTTTATTATTCATTCGTTTTGCATCGTAAATAGTTTTGTCAGAGTTGCATTTTCTTCATTAGTTTCCAACGCGAGACACTGCACTGCACTGCACTGCACTGCTTAGTACTGCTTGGTGCCGCCTATGTGCCCCATGTCGCACTCCTATGACCACCTCGATCTTACTTCTGCTTGGCTTGCCCTACATAACGCACTGCTTCGTCCTTCGTCTTGACTGTGTCTGTGGTGATTAGGGGTTAGTACTGTGTGTGGGTGTGGTGTGTGTGTGTGTTTTAGACAGAATAGGGAGAAGGAGAAGGGAGAGCTTGAGAGCTGGATAGTCTAGAAGAGTTCTAGTATCTGATAAATTTGTATATAGTTTATGTATAAATTTAAATATATATATATATATTTGTATATATATATATATATGTATGTATATATATTTTCGTAGAGAAAGGCACAGATGAAATTATTATTAATCAAATTTGTTGCTTCTTCGTCGTCGCCCAAATCGTTTGCTAAGTTTGATTTTGTAAGTTCTTTGTTTAAAGTTTATCTAAACTGGGTAGCTTCTTCGTTTCTTTCTTTTTTTTTACAGTGTGTACAAAGAGTGTAAAATTTGTTTTGTTTTCGTTTTTGTTTTTTGCTTTTGGTTTTCTTTGAAAAATAAGCTTAGATCATGTTGAAAAATTGACAGTGTTGAGTTAGTGTCCCTTGTCCCACTTATTCCTCATTTCCATCTTCCGTCTTCTTCTATCAGCTTTTCGCCCTCCTGTCGCTCGCTCCAATCAAGTGCCTAGAAATATGTTGATGCTCTATTGTAATTCGTTGATAGTTCCATATATACACTATATATATTCATTAAACATTAATCATTAAATTTCTACTAATTTGTTCTGGTTTTGTTTTTGTTTATAAATGCTAGACTTTAAAGTTCTTCTGCTTCATTTAGTTGTAGTTGTTGTCATCTTTTATTCTTGGGATAGTTACAAGAACTGTATCCACAAAAAAAAAAAAAAAAAAGAAGGAATCTCTCATGTTTTACCAAACATGAGTACCCTTAATGCGCCGACGTTGGCACTGTTTTGCTGTGGGGTGGTGTCTGGGGTCCTATGGAAAAGGCAAAGTTCATAGAGGATAGAGATAGAGACTGAGTGAGAGATAATGCAAAGATTGTCGACCAGATGGACTATTGGTATTGGGTATCCATTATCTGTTTCCATATATCATACATATATGTAGGTTTCTATAGGTTTCTATAGGTTTCTGGGTGTGTCTAAGTACCTAAGTAAATTCGTTTGCACATAGATTTTTCCTTCTTCCTTAGCAACAAATGAAGTGCAGCGCGTCAACGCAGCACATATACTATTCATATTTGCTTTTCCTTTCTTGTTGATTTTTGGATTTTTGGGGGGACTAGGTACGATCTTATTAGCTACTCGTACTCGTACTCGTACTCGTACAATGTGCAATTGCTTATCAAGGTGCTGGCTCTTTAGCTTCAGCTTCAGCTGTACTCGTATTCGTATGTACTATGGAGGTCTTGTCAGCATTGTGTTTGTGTTTTGAGTTTTCTGTTTCTGTTTAGTTAGTTTCCCTTTCTAGACTAAGTAAAATACACACATACATTCTTACTATATACAGACATCGTACGTGTTTAGTGGTGAGTGTGAGTGTGAGTGTCTGAGTGTATTCACCGTCGCCTTCGTCCTATAAATGTTTAAACTTTAAGAGCTAATCACAGAGTTGATGATCTTTTGTTCACAAATTTCCATCATGTATGCAGTACCCCTATAAGTAGTATATATATGTATAAGTATGTATATATAACTGTATATAGTATATAGTATATGTATATGTAAATCGCATATAACGCTTGTATATAATTCGTCAGCTCGTGGCTTTAGACCTCTCGACTACAGCTTGAAACGGAAAACGCTCTAATCAACATTAAACGTAGTTCTTTTTTTTGTTACTTTAGTTTATTTTCTTATTTTTTCTTATTGCGGTATTTCGGTTTATCTTCTGCGTGTGTTTGTTTTTGAGACCTCCGTTTTGTAGGTTCTGATACCATCTGGATGCTTTTTAAAGTTATGAAAACCGTAGGATTGCACTAAAAACAGTTGACAATTTTTTTTTGTTTTCTTGCTTTTTTTTAGTTTTTTTTTTTTTTGTTTTTGTCTTGCGTTGGATAACGAACGCTCTAAGAGTAGTTATCGTTTATCGGTAATAGTTACGGCTATCGATTAATCATTTTCATTTATCGTTATTGTTATCGCTATTGCCTATTGCCTATCGATTTTTTTTAGTTGTAGTTTTCAAGTTCTAAAACTGAGCACTTAGAAAATTCCCTAAAGATTTTTTTTTGTTTTTCCACTGGGTTGTTTTTTGTTTTATAGAGACTGGTATACAAAGTAAGGGCGACAGACAGGGATCTATGTATACTTGGAGAGAGAGAGAGAGAGAGAGAGATTGAGATGGACATACAGGGGTTGCATGCCTAGTCCATCGAGGACTGGGGGGACTTGACCAGCAACAGCTCGTTGTAGTCGCTGTCCCTGTCCTCGACATCGTCCCTGGGATCCCTCTGGTCCCGCTGATCCATCCGCCGCCGCTCGCTGATAATGCGCAAGATGTCCGCCGAATCGGATTTGCCTGGTAGCAAGTGGGAGTCCACAGCACTGGCGGCAGCCACGCTCTCCAGGGCAGCGGCGACGGTGGGGGTGGGGCCTCCAACGGCTCCCCCGCTGACGGCTGGCAGCAGCAGCGAGCTCTCGTCCATGTCGGCATCCTCGTCGAGGGCCTGCTGCTTGAAGAGCTGCTTGGTGCTGCCGCTGCGGCTCCGGGGGGGCATCGAGCGCGGCACGGATAGAAGGAGGCTGCTGCGACCGGGCGCCCCCAGGAGGCAGCCCTGGTCGACGGACTGCGACCAGCCGAAGGGGCGACGTGGTGGCGGATGATGTGCTGACGACATCCCGGTGGGTGTGGATGAGGGTGTGGGTGTGGGCGTGGGCATGGGCATGGGCAGGGCTAGCGGCATGGACAGGGGCATAGGCGTTGCTGCGGGCACCAGGGCACTGACCACGGCCAGAGCATCGGTGTCCGGCTCCAGGTGCGGAACATCCGCACTGCGCACGCTGCGAATATCAAAACCGAGTGGCGATCCTCCAGATCCCGATCCCGATCCCGATCCCAGTCCGCCGCCCCCGCCATCCGACTCGAGGCTCTCGAAGATGGTGCCGCGCCTGTAGTCGAGGGCATCCCCACCCCAGGGCAGCGAGTCGCAGCTGGTGCGGTTGGCCTCCAGATTACGTCGTCGAATGGCCTGCTCGTCTAGCGAGCGCTCCTTGGACAGCACGCCGCGCTTGCGGAAGCCGGCGGCGGCCGAGGCGCGTCGCCCGCGGCGCCCCAGAGGCGGCAGCTGGAGGTTGCCCGGCTCCTGGCCGAAGCCGGCACAATTACCACCTCCCGCTGCCGTCGCTGTTGAGGCGCCGCCAAAGGGTTCGCCCAGCCGCGCGCTCAGCGCCTGAGGCGTCAGCGTGCCACCCATCTCGGCCAGGCTCAGGCCCAGGCCAAGGCCGAGACCCAGGCCCGGCCCGCTTTGTGGCTGATTGAAGTACTGTACGGTCTGGCGGCGTCCTCCCGCTCCCGCTCCGGCTGTCCCGCCCCGCTGCGCCAGTCCGCCCAGTCCCGGCGATGTGGATGTCGATGTGGATGGATTCTGCTGCTGCAGCTGGTTGAGATTGGTGGCCGCGCTGCTAGTGAGGGACTGGGGGCTGGGGAACTTCTTGTCCAGCGAGGGGGTGCTGTAGATGAAGTTCTTCGGCAGCGACTTGACCTTGGCGAGGGGGCGTGGGGGAGCAGCCGCCTTTGCCTGCGCCTCCGCCAGCTGCTGGCACAGCTTCTGCTCCTGGGCGAACTCCTGCTCGCGCACCAGCTCACGCTCGAGCTCCACCTCCATGTCGAGCTCGTCTTCCATTTGCTTGTGGCTCTCCTCGAGGTGTTTCATCAGTACAGCCACGACGACATTCACCAAAACGAATTGCGCCATTAGCACGAATATCACAAAGAATATGGGAGCAATAACCGAGCTGACGCAGCAATTGCGTACACAATCGGCCGCGTCATCGCAATTATCCCTCAGCGTGTCCTTCATGATGCCGTTCCAATTGTCGCCAGTCGCTACGCGAAACAATGTGAGGAAAGCCATGCCAAAGTTGGCGAAGTGCGCGTGCTCGCCCAGGCCCTGGCAGGGTATCTCGTCGGAGCACTCGAGGCGCCCAAACAGCTCCACGCCCAGCGCCGCGAAGATGAAGAACAGCAGGAAGAAGAGCAGTCCCAGGTTGCCCACCTGTGGCAGGGCCTGCATCACGGTGTCCAGCAGTGCCCGAATGCCCTTTGCCATTTTCAGCAGCTTGAGGACGCGGGCGATGCGCAAGACGCGCATCACCCGAATGATTGTCGGATTGATGGGTATAATCTTCGTCTCCAGCTCCTCGAGTACGATGCCCACGATCGAGAGCAGGACGATGCCCACGTCCAGCTGGTTCCAGCGATCCTTGAGGTACAGCTTCCAGCCGAGGGCCACCAGCTTCATGTTCGCCTCCAGGATGAAGACGGCGGTGAAGAAGTAGTTGAATATCTTCAGGGCATACTGCAGGGCCATTTTCATCTTGTAGTACTCCATGGCCATGGTGACCACATTTAGCCCTATGACGGCTGCGATGGCCAGGTCGAAGTACTTGGAGGTCACGACGTTGTGCACGAACATGCGGGTGGGCGAGTAGTTGGTGTAATAGGGCGGCTCGTGCATCCGGCGGCGCTTCTTCTCCATCTGCAGGGCCCGCTTGGCCGCGCGCCTGATTTTCTCCTCCTTCTCCTGCTCCTCGCGGCACCGATGGAAGTTCTCCACCACCACGCCCACGAACATGTTGAGCACGAAGAAGCCCACCAGCAGGATGAACGCTATGAAGTAGAGCAGCCGCCACTCGTTGTAGTTTACGATGGGCTGCTGATCGACGCCGACGGCATCGAGGCCCGTGTACATGATGTTCACCCATCCGTCGCGGGAGCTCAGCACGAAGAGGGACATCAGGGCCTTGCCCAGGTCGTCAAAGTTGTATTTGCGGTTCGTCCAGACGTTGCCCGGAATGCGGCGGCACTCGTCCGCGTTGCGCACGTTTTTGATGTTCTCGCCCTCGCAGTAGAAGAAGGTGCCCTTGAATAACTGTACGCCCAGTATCCCGAAGATGATGAAGAAGGTGCAGCAGATCAGCACGATATTGCCGATGGGACGTAGGGACGATAAGAGCGTTTGCACGACTAGTTTCAGACCCGGGGCACGGTTGATCACCCGCAGAGGCCGCAGGGAACGAAGTAGCCGAAACACCTGCGAACGAACCATTGAGAGAGAAAGAGATAGTAGGGGGATGTTCAATAGGTATTTATGTAACGAATATGCACTGCTTGCACTGCTTATATCGCTCTTCGCGAAACACGCCAGGCGGCGCCACCTCTTATGAAATGGAATTGAATTGAATTAAATGGAATTAAATTAAACGCAAACAAAGCGCTCAACAAACGTGTGTGTGGACAACAAAGCAAAGCTAAAATGCTTTATGCTGGATGCTGGATGGTGGATGGTGGATGGTCAGTAGTGCGGATGGGGCTCTATATGGATCCTAGGATCTATATGCCAAAATACAGCTGCGTTCGGAATAAAAGTAGCTCCTTCAAGCATCAGTAAATATCTCGATCAGTCTGTACCATTGCTTTTAGACAAATATCTTCCTTGAGAGGAAACCCTATTGATTTCCATCTATTGCAAAAAATGTAAGTACAAATTCGCCTTTACAGGTTGATCCCGAAATACTAATTGTATCTGTATCCAGACGCTTCAAGGATTGTCCTGTCCATCTTAACTTCATTAATAGCTTCAAATTATTAAACAAAAATTATTTATCTCAGATATTTTTCTGTATCACGTGGTATAAAGTGGGTTTTTCTTTTCGTAACTTTGAATTTGTAAAAAAATAGCGCTAGATTTCAAAAGATTAGATAACCTAGACGTAGTTTTCATTTTTGGTTTTAAGCCATGTACATAAAAGCTGTCTCGACCATTTTTTCCATTATAAACTTTTTGACAAAGTTCTCGTTTCCTTTGTTTTGGCACCACCATCGTTCCGAACACAGTTGTATATATAAATGGAGTGGTTAGAATTATTATCATATACATATATGTGAATCTAAATGGAATTAATTAAATGATTAAATGTAATGGATTCAAATGGGACGTAATGGGTTCAATGGGATAATTTCTCAATACATTCAAATTCTTTTGGGGAGGAATAAAGCTGAATATGAGGGTTTTTTAGTTTTTTTTTTTTAGTTTTGTTTCGAGAAGTAACCGAATCGGTCGAATTATATACAATATACATACAAGAACTCAATGGAGGCGAGCCAAACATTTACTGGATTTGGAATAGTATCTTTGGAATGGATTTCGGTTTCGGGACTACACACACTTATAGTAACAAATGGTGAAAGCAATTGGATTTATTTTTTGCTCAGTAACTCATTAAAGCAGAATAAGGAATTTACCTGCGGTTTCGAGAGAGGGAGAGAGATACGGGTATGTACATATATACATAAGATACAGATAGATAGATATATATATAGATATACCCGAATACATACATATGTATACACAAAAAATTGAACAAAAATTGTTGAAAAGATTTGAGGAAGAAGTTGTTCAATTGTTCAATCGTGTGTCTGTGTGTGGGTGGGTGTGTGTTTGTGTGTGTGTGTGTGTGCGCGAAAGATAGAAAAGTATATAGAGATAGCCAATCAGCAGACAGATATAGATAAATAGAGCATAGCATCGAGCGAAGGAGCGAGCGAGCGAGCGAGCGAAGGCGATCTTGAGCTTGATATAGCTTTATTGAGAGCTTTAGCGAGAGCTTTTCTGATCCGCGCGTGCGCAAACAGCAGCCAAATAAATGGGCGTGGTCGATTCGATTGTACTGCTTGTTCTGGTTGTTGTTCTTGCTTGTTGTTGTTGTAGCTGTTATTGGAATCGCATTAGTTGTACTAGTTGTTGTTGATTTCTTGTTGTAAAAATTTGTTGTTGAAATTTATCTGTCGATGATGCTGATGCTGAGGCCTGCGACTGCGACTGCTATCGGATTGCGAATTAGCCCAGAGACCCCCTACTTACCCTTAAAATCCCAAATATCCTCGGGCTCGATTCGCTAATCAATGACATTAACAAATCAATTATGGAAATGGTAACCAAAGATCCGTCCATGATATTCCAACCGGATGTGAAGTACGCATCCGTGCCGTAGAACATGCCCGTGGCGACTACCTGCAATCGGAATTCAGGTTTCGGGTTAAGGCAATGTTCTGCTTTTACGCCGGAAGAGCCCGTCGGTCCAGTCGGGCCAGTCAGGCCTACTGGCAAAATCCTACCTTAATGAACATCTCAACGGTGAAGACGGCGGTGAACACGTAATTGGCTGTTGACAGGAACAATCTTTCGGTGCTGGTTGGAGGGATGTTTGGTCTTTCCATCGCCAGGGTGATGCAGTTGAGTGCGATGAACAGCAGCACAACATTGTCAAACCACTTCTGATTGACAAACCACGTACAGACCTGCCGAAACCTGGGCGTCGCAAGTTGAGTGGATATAAAGTGATTAATAAAAAAATTCAAAGTTTAGATTGCAATGGAATTTCGAAATTCGCGTTTTCGAATAACCGAATAATAAAATGTCGCATGGGCACATCAATTAAGAAGACAGTCCTACGATTTGGTTAGATATTGTTATGAAAAACCCATGATTTCAATGGTTTCTACGGATAAGTTTTCTTATAAAGGGAACCGATTTCCCCCGACTTTACCGGACTTCCAGTGTTCGAAATTATTTGTAAATGCTAGGCCACTCACTTGTTATCCTCGGGAAAGACGTACATCGAGTAGGACTCACGCTCCATGGCAAACTGCCTGGGCGTGAGCCGTTCGATGATCATCTTCAGCTTGGACATCCGCCCGCCACTTGTCATCATGGAATGTGGCTGCAGTGCCATGTGCTGGAACTCCTTGGAGAGCCGATGGGACTGGGACTGGGGCTGCTGCTGGGAGGAGGACGAGGAGTCCTGTTGCTGTTGCTGGAGTAGCAGTTGCTGCTGGTGGAGCTGCTGCAACTGCTGGAGCTCCTTCTCCTCGAGCCGCTTCTTCAGGTTATAGTGGCTTATCGAGGTCTTGCGCTTGTCCCGCGCCTCGATGTACTGCTGCAGCATGTTGTCCGGCTCGTTGAGATTGCCGTACGACCTCTGCCACTTGTCGAGGTCCATCTTAGAATTCGTGTAGGACAGCGACTTCCGGTTCGCCTCCAGGTTGTGCAGGTTCAGGTGCGAGGTCTTGCTGAATGCCAGCTCAATGGAGCTCATCCGCCGCTGACCCGTGCCCGGACGCAGCTTCGGGGGCTGGTTCAGGTTCTGGTACACCTGCGAGTTGAAGATGCAGGCCGAGGCCCGGCGACTGCCCAGCGCCGCCCCCGGACTACTGCCACTGCCGATGCTCAGCGTGTTCGACAGTCTGCGGATCGAGTTTTGCGGGCTCAGCCGGTTGGTGTCCTTGGCAGCTCCTCCTGCGTTTCCGCTTCCTGCACCTGCACCACCTCCTCCCAATCCTCCTCCCGCACTGCTCCTCAGCAGGAAGCTGTTGTCGCTGCCGTTGTTCAGCTGCTGCTGCTGCTCCTCCTCGTCATGGCCACTGATGCTGTCCTCGGCTGCGGCTGTCGGCTGGGGTCTTCTCTTCTTGGAGCTGCTACGCCGGAAGCGCTGCTTGAAGCTGCCCCCACCAATTCCGCTGTACGGGGACGGGGACGGGGACGGGGTCAGGGGAAGGCGCTCGCTGGAAGAACTGCCGCTGGTCGAGGCACCGGCACTGGTAGCAGCTCCAGGTCCAGCTCCAGCTCCAGGTCCAATTCCAGTTCCAGGTCCATGGACTGTCATCGAGCCCGTCAGATCATTCAGACTGTGACTGTAGCTGTGGCTCTCCGTGTGCGCAGTGGAAGGCCCAATCGGAGGCTGGAGTCCCCCCAGTCCCCCCGCCGTCGACGAGGAGGAGATAGTGGGCACATAGATGGGCGCGGCAGCTGCTGTCGAGCCAGAGCTCTTCGATATGTCATCGATGATGACGCTGTGCATGCTGCTTCCTGTGCTCCCCGTCCCACCTGCTATCCCCATGCTCATGCCCATTCCTATGCCCATGCCTCCGCCCACACCCACTCCCAGCTGGCTGGCGTTGAGGATGTTGAGCGGTTTGTGGGCGAGCACTGGGGAGGGTGGAATGAGATCGATGGCGGGTATGCCCTCGTCCAGGGTGCGCTGTCCCCCAGTGAAAATGTTCGGGGGTCGCAGCAGCGTTGGCGATGGAGGAGGCGGTGGCTGTTGGCGTGGCAGTAGAGTTGAATGAAGTTCGAAAAGCGAGAAAACGATCAGAGAGCACTCACCTCCATGTCGCCCCACTGGCGGAAGGTCATGCCCGGCTCCAGGGTGGTGCTGGGCGAGTCCTGCGGCGTGGCCGCCGTCGTTGTGATGATAGGTGGCTCCCGGACGAGCCGGATCTTGGAAAGGCGCGGCGCCTCGCTGCGTCTGTCCTTGACGGAGTATGTCTGTGTGCGAAGCGAGCAGTGGACATGATGTGTATGTCGATGGGGGTGTCATAAGTCATGTCCTGTTCGTCGTAGGTCGTGGCTGCTCTTCCCGTGGCAGTACCCAGCGTGTGGGTCCGTCGGATCCGTTGCTGGGTCACTTACCTTTTTGAGGCCGCCGCGGGGCTTGCTGCTGCCCTCTTCGTGTGGCATCAGCTTGAGGATGTTGCTGGCGCCGCTGCCTCCACCTCCAGCTTCCTTGTCCTGGCCGGAAGCAGTAATGCCAGACGCCGGTGCGCCGCCCGGCGTGGGCAGCTCATTGATCTGGTAATCGTGACTGGGCTGGAGCAGCCGCTGGCGGTGCATGTTGCTCTTGGCCTCGATGATCAGCTCGGCCGAGTCCTGCAGCTGTTGGTGGGAGTAGGAGGACGAGCCGTGGATAGAACCGGTGCTGTGCTTCACACACACACACACACACACACACAAACATGCATTCAACACACTCTCATTGAGACTGTAGCACACACTCATGCAACGAGACGCATGCAACCGAATACACCACTCACACACAGGCACACAGGCACACATACACGCACCGGATCTGTGTCCACTGTGGCACTTCCGCTTCCGCTTTCGCTTACGGATGACTTACCTTGCGCACGTCCTCCGCTGAGCGCCAGCGATTGCGTACCTCGTAGTAACTATCGTTAGTGGTCGATGAATCCGCCTCGCTGCGCGATTCATCGTACATACCATCGCTATAATTCTCGGCCAATGTCTCTTCGCGCAGTTTCTTAACCAACTCGCGCTGTTCGCGCTCGCGACGTTCATTTCGCTGAGGGAATCAAAATTTCAAAATTAGACTTTCTCGTCAACCTTAGAGCGTGGAGCATGGAGTGGGGGATTCTTTGGGGGTCGGTCGGCTGCTCAGCTGGTCGCGTGCCACACGCGTTTTTTGACTCACGCTGGTTCTTGGGTGGGTGCTTGGAATTGCGCTGGAGTGGGCAAGGCTGTGGGAGGAGAGGGCTGTGGGTGATCGACTGATGTTGGTATACAACACGTTTTGCTTATCGGAGCTCGGGCTTTTCGAGCTGCATATGAATATTCGCATATCGATCGAATTGATCGATCATTCTGCAAAACAACTAAGCTTCTCAACTCATACATTTCTAGAAATATTAGAGAAATGACTTTTCTTCATTTGTAAATCAGTTAATTAATCAAAGTAATTTTCATGGATGGTCAATGATACTTTGAGTGAACGCTAATCATTCTTGAAAATACTGGAAAGAGTGTAAAAAGTCCTTCTACACTTATCGATATATCGTGTCTACCGTTCGGATAGCAGCCTGGAGCTTTCAATTTTTATTTGATCTACATGTTTAATTTTTGTATGCACTATACGAGCTATCGAATTTTCATTCCGATAGCTAAGCGATTAATCATATCGATTTATCAACATCGGCGCATCGCTGTTCGAATGGCGATTGCGACGAGTAAGTTGGGGTGTTAATGCGGGGTTGGGTCTTTGATGAGGGGTAACGCATGGGAACTTTTTTTGTTGGCAAAACTCTACCTCTGAACTGAATCCCTCAACCAAAATGGCCACCAATAAATTAAATAGCACATAATTGCCGAATGTCATTAGGGCCACAAAGTACAATGCGGCCCAATGACTAGTCTTTTCCATTCCATTGAACAGGACGACGTTCCAATCCTCTTGCGTCAGTATCTAAAAACATTTTGTTGGTGATTGTTGTTGTAGATTGTTGTTGAGTTGATTGTTGTTGGAGATTGTTGTAGTTGGAGTTGGAATTTTTGTTGGAGTTGGAGTTGTTGTTGTTGTTGATCGGTTGGAGTTGCAGTTGCAGTGGCGGGCGGCAAACGTGGTGCAGAGCAGATATAACATACATATGCATGGATATCATATATATGTCGGATATACATGTATCGATAATTAATCGAAAGAAGCGAAAGAAAAAAAGAACGAAATACCAATAAACAAATTTTGTAGTTTTATTTGTTGCGGTGGGTGGCACGTAAGTAAGTAAGTAAGTAGAAACGTAATATAAAACGAATGCCAAACGAATGTTAAATGTCAGACAAAGGCAGAGGCAGACAGATACAGAGAGAGAGCGCAAGAGAGAGCAGAGAGAGAGAGCAAAGAAAGAGAGCGAAAGAGACATAGAGATGGCGAGAGCGAGAGCGAGAGATAGTCAAATATATTATATAACCTGTTAGTCGGATATATGTAGCATACTTTAACGAGTTGTTCCATATGTCCTCGTACATATGTATACTCGCAATATATGAATGATTGTAGGCACTAGCTTTCGTTTGCTAGCTCTGGCCGCCGCAAAAAGATGCGTTAATCGTGAAACTTAACTAACATTATAGGTATTGCTGTAAGAGTATTTGATTTGACCATGAACATCGTCTGTTCACAGCTGTGCATCATTTAGAATGCTTGAAAGCGAATCTTTTACTTTCACTGGTATCTGTGCTTTCCTTACGTTTTGAATAGGTAATATTTGTAAATTGAATAGGTACTATTAGTATATTCAGTAATACACATTTCAACACAAAAATTTTCTAAGTTTATTTCTTATTCTATTAGCAAGTCTTAACAGATGAATAGGTCATCAGCTGTTACGAACATTATCTTTGAATATAATCAGAAACATTTACAGGAATATCACAAATGTTGGACTCTTACGGACAGCACTCGATCAATCATTTGCGGATTAATCAATCATAGCTTATGACTTAAGAGTAATTCGGCAATCAACAGGCAAACGCAAATAAAAGCAAGCAGACTGTGTCAGAGCAAGGGAGACAGAAAGATAGAGAGAGAGAGAGAGAGAGAGAGAGAGATATGCAGAGCAGGATAGTTGGAAGGCGAAAAGTTGAGTGCGCAAGCAGTGCCAGCGACACTCGATGAATTTCATTCGATACGTTTCTCTGGCTGGACAGTACAGTGCGACCAATATCCAATATTTGTAAGTAGGCTGCTGCACAGAGCGGTTCTTCAAACAATAATTCGTGGTGTGGCATACTAAAAACTAAACAAAGACACACAAAAACAACGCAAAAACAAACTAAGACAAAAACGAGAACGCTATAAGCAAAGCCAAAAGCGAAAGCAAAAGCAAAACCAATTCAATAGCAAAACTCAAAGAGAAGCAGCAGCACGGCGGCCGCTCTCCTCGGACTAAGGACAAAGAGCAAAAGGCAAAGGCAAAGGCAAAAAGCGCACATAATTCTTGCATAGGAATTTTTCAAAGATTTCAAATTATTGGTTTTTTGGTTTTTCTGTTTTGCTCTGTACACGACGTGCCAATGTTTTTTTTTCTGTTCTATTTAAAAGTTGTTTTTTGTTTTTTAATATGATACAATACGAATGCGGTTGATATAAAAGTTAATGTTCAGTTTTGGTATTTTGTTTTTTTTTTTTGTTTTTGTTATGGTTCTTAACTTTGTGGCTGTACATTGGTATTGGTATTGCACAAATACAACTTTCAACATATTGATGTATATATAACGATTTGTATATGGTTTTGCTTAGCGACAATTTTCGAATGGTTCGACTATGTGAGACAGAGAGAGAGAGAGAGAGACAGACAAAGAGAGAGAGGAAGAGGGAAACAGAAAAAGAGAGACAGAGAACGAGAAGGAGATTTTGGGGTTTTCTTGGGAGGAGGGTGTGGGCGGCTAATTGAAAAATTAAGAGCTTTATTTCGTTTGTAACAAGCTAACGAACAAACGAACCAAATGGAACGAAACAAAACGGAACGGAAATGAAACAATTATATACAAATTCTAGTTGTAGAGTAGTGAGAGTGTGCGTGTGTGTGTCAGTAGGAATCTGACTTTGAATTGGATTATAAATCGGAATCACATCCGAGGATTGCATACAACAAAATCAAAGCCGAAAGCCGGAGGCAGAGGCATAGGCAATATAGCTGAGAGGATCCCAAGGGGGTCATGCAACAAAAGGTAGCATCATCGATAACGGTTTGCTTGGCTTAAGTCATGTGTCGTGTACGAGTGGGTGGGTGAAAGATAAGGAGAGATAGAAGAGAGAGAGAGAGAGAGAGAAAAGAAAAGAGGTTATGTGATAGAGCGCTTGGCCGGACGAGACTGTACCTCTGCAGAGCAGCGTACAGCAGTACTGTGGAAGCATAAGTGGATAATGGGATGTGATCTGTACACAATATATATATACACACTGGTGGAAAGATATGCGGCCTACTTTGGTGTTCTTTTGTGAGGATTTTGCATGTGTGTTAGTGGGGCATAGGCATAGGGGTGTGGACTACATTTGCTGGCATCAGAATCGAAATCTCAATTCAAACTCAAATCGAAAAATTCAAAAGTGAACAAGAGAACTCAAAGATCAGAACTCAAAAGATACAACTAACGAAGGGATGGTTGGAAATACATATATATTGGCTAGGAATCACGAGAAATCAATACAAATCAAGAGGTCAAACAGAGAAATAGAGAAAGAGAGACAGAGAAACTAGGAACTGGGTACTTTTGTGGCTATACTTGAAAATTTTTAAAAAATACTTGATAGGTGATATTTGTTGTAACTCTTGTATTTCTCTTACAGTGGGGAAAAGTGGGTGTGGGTGTGGCTGGATCTGTTACATACAGTTGGAGTAAGGGATGGGTGCGGTTGGATGGTTGGATGTGGGTGGTTGGGTGTGGTTGGGGGATTCTGTAAGTTTATTGCTGTTTTATTGTTCTTACTTGGAATACTGTGACAGTGGCCCACAAAATGTTGTTGAAGTGTTTGCGATCGCACTCGCATTGCGGATGCCGGCTGATTATTTCGGGACACGTACACTCGCGTTCGAGTCCGGATTCGTCCAAAAATTTACAAAACTTACCGCCAAACAGATACATGCCGAGTATGCTGTAGGTTTATATATATGTATGTTTTATATATATATATAGGTATATATTTATAGAGTTATAGATGTGTGTTGTTATTCGATATTCATTTATACATATATAGGCATATACTATATATATAAATTGATTCATAGATATAGTCATAGAGAGAGTGGTAAAGGGGTGGTTTCCTTATATGCTCGTATATGCAAATGGTTGCAATTCATATACATATATGTATACATATATATATATATTTTGTATATACGGATATAGGGTCCTGTACTATACATGGGGCTGGGTGTTAACTGGGATTATTCTCGGGTATGTACGTATATATAGTATATATGTATATAAAAAGACACAAAGAGAAGGACAGAGAAATAGTGTGAGAAGGAGACTTCTGGCGACTTTTGGTCTTCTATCTGGAGTTGGCCTGGAGTTCTGTTCTGTTTTCTGTTTTCTGTTTTCTGTTCTGATGGGTTCTGATGTCTGTTTATATACAGAGTGAATCTGGACATGGGCCCTCATACATACATATGTTTATTTACTTGTATTCATGTGGTGTGAGTGGCCTAGGGACTGGGTTTTTTGTTGTACAGTTTGTTGGGTCCCGAGACTATAGTAGTAATACATGTACATGTACATATGCATGTGATGTGTGTGTGCGAGAGTGTGCCTGAGGGGTCAGAGTTACAGTGGGGCATATAGTTTACAGTGGGCAATGCATATGTGTGTGTGTAATCGAGAGAGTGGGAGAGAAAGAGAGAGGGGGAGATACAGAGGGAGAGTTCTCTTTTTAGAGGGATACGTTCGGGGCTGAGTTCTATACAACTTAGAGACTAGAATAGGATGAGACTATAGATAGAAATTGGCACGAATACGGGATATACACTTAGACATAGTAGGATAAAGATAAAGAGCAAAATGTGAGTGACAAAGAAGGCAAACGTAAGTGGGAGGACAACAAGAGACAAAGTGACAATCAATGCATATATATGTGGTACATACGAGTAGTACATACGCATACGAATAAGATAGTACAGCATATGAGAGACAAAGAGACAGACAGATAGATAGATAGATAGATAGTAAGATATAAAAATCGTGTGTGTTTCCGAGGTGTACGAAGTATGCAATGTGTTCGAGTCGAGTCGAGTCGGGGTGGGGTTGGCTGCGGTCGATGCTGGGATGCAAACTGATTTATCAGTTCTACTTGAATATTTTATATACACGGATCCGAACCCATGCAAAGCTCAACAACGAACTCGAACGAACGGTAATGCTTACCTGGTGCAATGTACAAGTATAATGATATATACATAGTTACAATATATACACAGATACAGATACGGCTATAGATAGGCTATAATACGCTTGGATATGTATATGGTTATATGGCTGGCTTAATCAGCTCTCTCGAATATCTACGGATACTCGTACGGATACTCATACGGAACTGCATGCGGATGCGCTCTGCTTGCTATTGAACTCGAAACGGTAACGCTTAACACGCATGCCAACTCAAGAATCGTAATCGAAATGTTAATCGTAATCGTAATCGTAATCGAAATCGGTATTGTAATCGAAGGAACTCAATATCAAAGCATGTTCAACTGAATACTACACTCAAGTACACACCACAAATTAGTGCGAGCGAGCTATCGCCATCGACATTGACGTCGCTCTGCCAATCGGCTTATCGATAATAAATCATAAAATTATAACAAATCCCTGTGTGCGTGTGTGTACGTGTGCGACACACTCGCACACAAGGATACACAGATAGACGAAGACAGAGCGAGAGAGACAGAGTGATAGGAAGACACAACGGTAATAATGCTTTACGATCAATGGTTATCGCAACGGTAAATGTAATCGAAACAGAAACGAAAATCAAAACACTCGTCAAAACTGAAGCGGAATTCAAAGTGAAGGGAAGAAAAACAAAATGCTCTTTGGTTCCGAAAAGGATCTCAGAATATCTTTATCTTTTCTTTCCTTTTGGTTTTTTGGCTTTTGCATTTCTTTTTCAGTTTCATGAACAGTTAATCGTAATCATATCAGTAGTAGCAGATAATGGCGTAACATTAGGAGTAGTAGGAGTAGTAGTAGCAGTAGTAGTATAGATATATATATTTATAGGTTTATATATGGTATAAGGCTGATAGCAATGGGTCTACCTGGAACACTGTGACGAGCGCCCAGAGCAGGCTGTCGAAATTCTTACGATCGCAAATCATCTCTCCGTTAACTTTCTCGCAGAATTTACATCCGAACAGATTCATGCCGAGTATACTAAAGTGATGGTTTGTTTTTGTTGATATATAATATGATATATATATATATATATTTTATTGTTGTTGTTGGTTTTTTTTGTTGTTTGTTTTCGATTATCATTATAACATATATTCTTATATATTTTTGTGTTTTTTTGAGGTTTTTTGGGTTTTTTTTTTGGGTTGGTGTTTAGCATACATTTAAGTTTATTTTAATTTCGGTTTTCAGTATTCAGTTTATTCGATTATTATTTTGTTTTGGTTTTGGTTTTAGTAAGTTTTTTTTATTTATTAAATTGTGTGGAGTGTGACGAAGAGAGAGAGAGAGACAAAATATAGAAATAGAGAGAGAGAGAGTTAAGAAAGAAAGAGACAGAGTGAGAGAGTGTGAGAGAAAAAGACAGACACAGAGAGAGAGAGAGAGAGCGAGAGAAAAGGAGCGAGAGAGAGTGTGTTTGTGTTGCTGTTGGTGAGCGACGAGCGGCAAACAAAAGAAAACACTCCAATAGAGAGAGAGAGAGAGAGAGAGAGAGTTATAGAGAGGGGCTGCTGGCTGGGCTTTGAGGATGCAGCTTTCGGTTCAAAGCTTTCCTCTCTGAGGATCATAGCTCACCCACACGACTGCAATCGGACTACAACAGAAGTAAAACGAAACAAAGGTTCAGTTTAATCCCAAGCTGAGAGAGACAGAGACAGAGACAGTGGAGAGAGGTGAAGCTATAGCCGGTGGAGGGTGGGACGGTGACGGATGGTGGCGTGGGGTTTGGGGGTTATTCATTCAGATTTTGGTTTGGTTTGTGGTCTGTTTTGCGGTTTAGGTTTAGGTTTCTCTTTAGAGTTTAATCAGGGGTCGTTTATCGAGTTGGTTTATCGGTTTTGGTTTCAGTCGTTTCGTACAGACATCGACGCTGGCTTCAATTTCATACGAAATACGGCATTTTCATGAACTTCTTTAATCGGTGGCATATTCGATATGTACGAGTTGTAGTATGTAAATATATCTGGAGAGTTACATGTGTTGCATGTCTCATGTGTTGCATGTTGCATGTTGCATGTTGTGTCGCAGCTGTTGCTGTTGCTATTCTAACTACACAAACTCGATTACGTTTACTTTAGCAACTAGACTAGCTAATTATTTTGTAGTGTACGTGTGTTGTATTGTGTTCTTGTGTGTTCTTGGCCGTGTGCGAGTGTGAAATTGATACAATACCATAGTTATACGAGTACGATACAGTATATCAATTACGAGTAATCATATAAGGTATAGCGACAGAGAGAGAGAGAGAGATAGAGAAAGAGAGAGAGATCGAGTATATATCGAGTACGAGTATGTATCAAAACTGCAGCGGCTGCAAAACTACACAATAATTAAGCGTACGATCTTGTACTTGTGTGTCTCTGCGTGTCTTTGTGTCGTGCGTGTGCCGTGTCCGTGTGAAAAGCTCAAAGCGGGGAAGGAAGCTCACTCGCAGCCAATCAAAACTTCGGATCGAGCTTTCAAGTGTCTCTGGAGTGTGGTCTGTGTGTTTGTGTTTTCAGTGTTGGTTAACGCTAAGAGAAGCTAAGACACACATTTAGTTAATTTGAATTGGAATAAAGCGTATTTTTGGCTAACTAACTGGCTAACTAATTTGTTTTTGTTTATTTTAATGTAGTTTCTGTGGCTGTTGTTGGTGTATCGGTGTGTCTGGGTAAAACTCAAGTAAACGAAATGAATTTTGATCAGAAATTGAATTGGAGTGAGAATGGGAGTGAGAGAAATAGTGAGTGGTTTTGGAATTTGAAACGGGGGACTAAAAGAGTACGAATATCCTTGACTAAAAGCTGAATAAGTTCTTAAATTGTACGCGGAGCCGGAACTGAATCAGAATATTGACGGTGTATCAAGTGAGTGAGAGAGAGGGAGAGAGAGAAAGAGACCGAGAGAAAGAATAAATCCACTCGATCGTGTTTATGTGTGTGTCAAATAGAGAGAGTAATGCAAAGTGAGCGAGCGAGAAGACAAAGTGTACGACAACTTACGGCAGAGAGAGAGAGAGAGAGAGAAAGAGAGCGAGAGAGGTATGAATGGGGGAAAGAGATCAAAAGCAAGTGATACGGGGGTACAGTTCTTGCTTGTACGAGAGAATCGATTGCTTACAAAGTTACCAAAATCGTAACGCTAACTACATTTCTTCATTACGTTTCAAATATGTTACTGAGAGAGGCAAAGAGACAGAGAGTGTAATAGAGAGACAGAGCTTAAATGTGTGTGTAAGTGAGAGAGAGATCGATTTGAGAGAGAGACAGATATTTAGGCAAATCTTTACTCAAATACATATGTATTACTCAAGTGGTACGCAGCAGTGGGTACAAATAGGAAGAATGTATAATCGTGTCAAAGCATAGTATAAACAAGTACAGTTACGAGTAATTACGAGTACCAGAGCACAATTTCGACGGGGGGGTAGGGTCTAGTAGGAGGGTGTGTGTGTGTGTGTGGTTAAATGATAGAAAGAGAGTGAGAGTGGCTTGGGTATTACATGATGAAATGACCCAAAGCTCTCTCGTTTGACTGTGAAAGATGGATATTAAGAGACGAGATTGTACTTCAAAATGGAGGCACAGTCGGATATGAGGGGTTCATGGGCTCTTGTGGGGTGGATCGATTGAACTATATGGAAAGTTGATGTTGGAAAGCAGCTATGCTCGTAGTGAGGCTCTAGAAACTGTTAGAAATTAGACGATAGACGCCTTGCTATGGCTGGGCTAACTAGCTGGAACTGTTTGGTGGTATCGGTATCGGTATCGGTATTGGGTGGTAATACTGGGTTACTTTTCGGCTCCATTTCCTTATTTCTTTTTTTTTTTTGGCTGGGACTGGCTTGGATTTTACTTTCTTTCTTCTTCTTCTTTTTTGGGTATTGGTTTTTGGGGTTTTTCGCGTTCGATAACCGTATATCGGCAATCGATTAATCGTTGATTAGCTCTGATTGAATTTTCTTTCTTTTCGTTACTTCATTATCTTTTGTTATCTCCGCCTTCTTCGTGTATAGTGTATATGTGTTGTGAGTGTCTGTTAGTGGTGGTTAGCTGTGTTTGTGTGTATCTGTGTATTGTTCTTGTGTATCTATTTTTTTATTTTTTTTTTGCTATCTTTTTTTGTGTGTGTTAGTGTCATCGTGTGTCTTCGGACTGGTTTTTAAGGGCAGTCGAACTCACCTGAAGATGAATATAAAGAGTACCAGCAGGGAGAAGAACACGGCCACATTGTCCATGGTGCGAAGCATGACAAATAGTTGCCGCCGCAGATTCGGCATGAAGCGGACGAGCTTGAGGATGCGGAGCAACCGGAATGTCCGCAGAACGGACAAACCAGAGCCACCGCCCCCAGTTCCATTGCCCAAAAACTGTTGGCATATCTCAATGGCGCTGATGGAACGAGGGAGCAATATTATGTGGAAAGATACTGGGACTATCGCTGAGAGACACCTCACCTAAGTATGACAATGATGCCGTCAAAGACATTGAATCCATTCGCTATGTAGCGGAAGGGACCCTCGGCCACCACCTTGAGCAGCATCTCGACGGCAAAGATGCCGGAAAAGACTATGTTGCTGGTCTCCACGATGGCTGTGAGTTCCGGCGGCTGGTTGTGGTACTCGATCCCCATGGAGAGCGTGTTGATCAGAATGGCTAGCAGGATGCCCTGCTGGAAGTACTTGTGCTCCACCAGGCGTTTGATATAGCGTCGGACGTAGCTGCAGATGCGTGACACGCAGCGGTAGACGGCGATGAGGCCGCGCATCGCCGCAGATCTCTGATGATGGCGCTCCTCCAGCGGCGAGAGGGCGTTCTGATACAGGTCGTAGCAGCAGGCGTAGTCCTCCATGTAGTTGCCCGTGGGACCGCCGTGATCGCGCCCATGGCCCTGCCCGTGGGATGTGTGACCCCGTGATCTATGTCCATTGTTGTTCCTGCTGTGGCTGTTGTTGTTATTATTGTGGTGGTGCTGGTGCTGATGCTGATGCTGGTGCTGGGGATGCGAGTGATGTTCTCTCCGCTGGCGATGATGAGTGGTTGCCTGCGATTCCCCGGGGCCCACAGCCGCTGAAACGGCTGCGACAGTGCTGGGCGCACCGTTCAGCTCGAAGGCATCCACTGCCCCACCCGACGCCTGATCCGGCGCTGGCTGGAAATGTCCCGGGGACTGGACAGAGACTAGGGCCTGGGAAGTGGTCGGGGCCCGCTTGTGCTGGGCCTTAAGCGCCTCAGCGGTGTGTGGATCGCAGCGGGCCAGCGACGTGTAAAAGGACTCTAGCGTGCTCTGGCCCGTCGGCAAGGCCGCTGAAAAGGCCACAGAGAATGCTAACAGCTCTTGACAAGTCATCGCATCGTGTATACCCAGCTCGGAGCAATCTGCATATGGATTGGCGATGGTGCCGATGGTCTGCGGTAGGTTCACCTGGTCGGAAACAGCAGAGAGTGTTAGTCAATTGGAGGGCCATTTATGGATGGTCAATCACTCACCTGCCAGATGCTTCCATCGCCGGCCTGGGTCATCTTCTCCGTGGAGAATATGGTGGTGCTTTTCTCTGGAACTGCCGCCGCACCACTGCCACTGCCACTCCCATTTTGGTTGTTGTTGTTCAGGTTGTGGTTGGTGTGGTTGTGGCTGCCACCAGGACCGGCCGCCGATGCTGCTGGTGATGATGATGTCGCTGCCGCTGCTGCAGCTGCGGCTGCCGTTCCCGCCACTGTGGCAACAGTGGTGGTTGTTGCTGCTGGGGAGGCGCTACCCGGTGCCAGGGCCGGCTCCGTGCTGAGGGCGGGAGGCGTGTGCAACAGCACGTACTCGTTGAACATCACCGACGGACGTCGGCTGGCCGACGTGGGCGGACTAAGGAAGCCCGAGGTACAAGGATGGCTCTGTATGCAAGAGTATTCAAGAATTAGAAATGCCAAATCTTCATCTTTCATTCATTCATTTATGATAATGGACGAGAGGGAGGACTCTCCACACGGCGGAGGTCAGTGTTCGTTCGGCTCTAAGAACAGGGAACTCTTCACTGGGATCATCATTAAGAATAATAACTTTAAACGAGGTGACAAGCTACTAGGATATACAGGACATACAGAGGTATAAGAGCGTTGGTGTGAGCTTCTTTGACGAATAGAGGATATATCTACATATGTATGGTTTAACTTCAACCGACAATTAAGGGGAGACTTTTTTTTAATATTAAGATTACGCTTATCACACGACTAGTGGAGGGCTAAAAGTTGGAAAAGAGCTGAGAACTAAGCGTTATTCCTGTTTAATTACAGCATTTGCTGTACGGTTTTTATACTTTTAGATCTGTTTTAGAGTTTTAATAAACCGCTTGAAAAATATTTCAAAGGCAAACAAACCAAAGCTTCAGGTTTCAGCGGTGCACTGCTTGGACCAAACCTTCAGGTTTCAGCGCCGCACTTCTTGCAATATGACTTCAATGAACCAGCGCTTCAGGTTTCAGCGGTACACTGCTTGAACCAAAGCTTCAGGTTACATCGATGAACTACTTGCAGAATGGTTTCGAGGGAAAACGACTTAGGTTTTAACGGCAGACCTCATATGGTCTATTGACAAGATTGTTATTAAATATTTTATTACTTTATCGATAGCGACTTAAAGCGGACATATTTACTTTATTATGAATATTAATTATGTAAAAGTATTTAATATATTGTGAATACTTTTATTGGATGCATTTTTCGGGAATATATTTATGTTTCGATTTCAGACCAGTCTGTGGCCACTATTTTCCTAATGTCTAATGGATAGGTACGGTACGTAATGTATTCCCATATGGGAAATGTCTTCGCCTTTGCTTATTGAAAATATAAAAAACTGTATTATTTTCACATATTAAAATAAAACGAAATGAGATAAATATTTAATCGGCATTCAAACGAGACACAATGGGACAATGGGAACAATGGGCAAAAGATTCAGATTCAGCAATTCAATGGGGCAATCAACTGTCTATATATGTATTTACATATGTACTTGCATTTTTATTCAAATGCACTTCTACGTATACATACACAATCGACAAAAAAATGATAGCCACTTCAACGGCATTTAATATGCAGACATATGCGGGGATTCGATATATCTACAATTTGTACGGGATATGTTTTTGCAACGGTTTTCTGTAGTTCTTTTTGTTCATTTGTGCAGCGACTGAATACCCTTGCCACAGGTAAATGGCATTGCAATAGAAATACTGCACGATTACTGCAAGGGTCTCCAGGATTCGGTGGGACCGAATCTGGCACTCTGGCACACTTCTCTCACGTTTACAGATATTTGATTTTATTTTATTTAATTAAACATTTTTGTTGTGTTCAGTACCTTGCCTAAATTTCCCAACTGCAGCTACGAGATTAGCAAAGGTTTGTAACAAATATGAAAGAATTTTATTATTATCATTTTTGTTTTGTTTGACGGCATTTCATTTGTGGATAAATCGTTTTTCAGCTTTGTCTGTTTTTGTGGCAATTTTGGGAGGTACAAATATATTCTGTGGCTGTGGCATTTGCTGTTGCTGTTTCTGTTTTCTGTTTTCTGTTCGAATCGATTCTGTGGCCCGGCGGACCAGAACGTGTGTATATGTGCGATGGACTGATCTGATGTGATCTGTTGTGATCGATGATTATGCTGCCTATCGATTGTCAGATACTCACAATCAGCTGCTCCGAATCCATGATCTGCTGGGGGAACTTCAACAGTATTGTCTTCTGCTCGCCGGCACTGCCCTCGGGCTTCAGCTGGTGGTGAGAGGACTTCCTCAGCGAGGAGCTGCGCGGCATGACCATACTGCCGCCGCCACAGGCCGCCTCGCCCATCGACTGTTCGGTGTTGTCGGAGGAGGAGTGTTGCTGCTGCTGCTGCTGCTGCTGCTGGGCGGCCTGCTGATGCTGGGCCGTCGACATGGTCACACTGGCCGTGCTGCCATTTATCCCGTTCACCAATGCCACTGTGGTGCAGCTGGGCACATTGTTGGTGGCATTCGTGTTGGTGCTGCCATTGTGATTGTTGGTATTATTGTTGTTGTTGTTGGAATTCGAGTTGGAATTGAGCGGCACCATAACGGTAATCATCTGATCCTGAATGCTGGACGGATGCTTGCGATTACTGTACTTGGGGCACTTCGGATGGTGGCACTTGATGCGCGACGGCGAAAAGGTCAGGTTGTCGGCATTGGGCAGTAGTCCCTCCTTGCGTTGTTGCCGCTGGTACCTGTACAGTGGTCAGGTGGTTGGGTGTTGTTTGGGTGGAGTTTGGGTGGTGTGGAAAACCAAATTTGATTAGTAACAAGTTGGCTGGCAGTTCGCGTAATTCACACATATGTCTGTACACAAAACATCGTGTTCTCTGTGGGGTTACGGGGCTGGGGGTACTGGGGGTACTGGGGTTCCGGTGTTCTCGGGCAGGGTCAACCGATGGGGCTGTTGCACGTGCGGGGGGGGTTGGTGGGTAGTGTAATACGTGCACTCTCATTAGTGCTCTAGATGGATTTGTGTATCTGTTTCTCTGTGTGGGTGTGTGTGCTTAAGTGTAACTCCAGGAGTGGGTGTATGGTGATTGGGTGTGTGTGTGTGTGTGTGCTTAGCAATTAGACAGACAACAATGGCAATTACATAATTCAATCAAATGAATGAACTAAGGACAACGGCAGTACAAAAATGCAAATGATCCAAATTAACATGACTTCCAGCTGTGGAATCAGTGTCATTCAATGCATGTTGCATCATGGCATTCAGCATGGGTATGTGTGTTTCTTGCGTCATTGTGTGGCATCATTGTGTGGCACGTGGCGTGGAGCTGGTGGGAGCTGGGAGCGTGGAGATGGGTGGGTGGACCAAGCTTGGATCAACATATTGTAATGTATTCCAGGGACCTTCTTCTAATACAAAAACTATACTCCCGACTCCAATTCATGTGTATCCATGGGGTATACGTAACATATGTGGGGTTGCCAAAGATACTCAGTAGCCTACACGGGATGCACATCTCACACATGTCAGGAGAGAGTCTAGCCGCTCCCCCGCCCCTATGTATCCATCTATGGACTAGCCCTATTCTCGCTGCTAATCTACGCATTCGCAATGCTCTACGCGTATATGTATATATTTTGACAATGTAAGCGGAGCGAGCGACACACGGATGCATGTAAAAAATAATAATTGAAAAACCCAAAAGTCATCAAAAATGCAAAAAACCCAGAAACAAACGGCTGACAACTGCACAAAATGAAAATGTAAATGAAACCCAAACCAGAAACAGAGAACAGAGAATTGGGGAAAAATTGAATTGTGGCAAAATAAGGACACCATAACAGGTCGAGTGCGCGGGCTAAATGAATTTTTCATAAATCAAAATCGAAACAAGAAATTATAAAGACCGCGAAGGTGCGGTACCCCAAAAGCGGAAACTAAAACGGAATCGAACGATGGAATGGAATGAAAGTGCGAGTGGGGATGGGGGCGTGGGTGGGTATGGGTATGGGAAATAGGCATTAATTAAGAAATAAAATGGAAATTCGGAGAAGGGATTTATGAAAATTCCTGCAAAGGGTGTAGTGCAATGGTTGACAGGGAGCCCAGAAATTTGGTCTCATAGACAACTGGCAGAAGAACATGGAAGGTGCAAGGGAATATAGTCTGAAATGCAATGAAACAGAGGAATGGAACCAAAGAAAATAATGTAAAATAGAACGCAAAAGAAGTGGAACGGAGGAACGGAGGAACGGAATGCAATGAATCAAAGGAATATAATGAAACCAAGGAACACAATGGAATGGAGGAAGCATGTACATGTAACTATAAACCCCGAATAACATATATCCCAAGGGGTAATCATCTCTTTAAAATGGGAGTATATATTCGAAAGAACTGCTTGGGGCATCGAGGAAATCCATTTTCCCCCGTTAGAGAGTCTCAGTGGAGTGTGGAGCTCGCTCTGGCTGAGAGTTTAGTGCGCTAATTACACGCTTTAATGGTTTCGGTTAGTAATCAATCAGTTTTGAAGTGACTAAAGCCTAGAGCTTTGCTTTTCGTGAAAGAGAGCTTTCGGTGGAGAGTTAGAGAGAGAGAGAGAGAGAAAGAGTCAGGGGAGAGAGAGAGAACTCAAACCGGAAACGGAAATAACAAACGAAAATCGTAATTGAATCAAATCAAAAGGTACAAGCAGCATACTTATATAATCTGTACTTCTTTAACATTCGTCTCTTGAAGCGTCGCCACAGATGGGCGATATATTTGACTATCTCCGCGTAGCATGTGGCCGGTTCCGAGTTGTTTGTGCTGCTGGCCAGCGTCGACGTGGACGTGTATCGTGCCCGTTCCTGTCGCATCCGCTCCATCTCGCGCTTCTTCGTCTCGGAGAACTGAGTGGCGATGACGACCAAGCATAGGTTGATCATAAAGAACGACCCGATCTGCAATATAAAACAAGGCATTAGGCAAGGCATCACATCTCACGTTTCCCCATTGTTAACCCCTCAATATGAAATATGTGCTCTCAATATTGACAATGTCCGAATATTATCCGAGTATTATCATACATTAAATACCCATACATTTCGTTTATGGCAGTAGTACGTGGTGTGAAATGTAAGCACGGCCAGGCCGGTGCCGGTACGGTACCCATCGGCAGGTGACGCTCAGCAGTTTCCGCAAAACTTTTCGCATTTCCGTTTAAAAGTTTTCGTTTTCATTTTCGTTGCTAGCGGGCGACAAATGCGAACTGAAACTTTTACACGGCCTTTGTTTCTGCTGCCACTCCTCCTCCGATGGGCTTAGGATGGGTCTTTGGAGGAAACATTTTAATCCATCCACTTAAATTCAATTAGCGCCTGTCTTCTGCCGGATTGCAGGCTCCACCCAAGGCTCGGTTCCTTCTCCAAGCTGGTACGGGGGTCGGTGGTTGGCCAACATTGAAAAAAAGTTTATTTGAAAGGCATCGAATAACATCGAATGGAGTGAATTTGTGTATTTTCTTGCGCACTTTCGACCGAGTTGTCCTAGGTTTTCTGTATACCCTTAAAGATTGTATGATTTAAGGTTGATTGTTCCATAGATAGAATATATACAGATCGTCGTGAGAAAGTCACAAACTTTGCGGGGAAAAAAGTTGTTCAAAGCAAAGAACAGGCAATCGAGTTTCAGGCCAACTTTAAATTGGAAACATATTTCAAAGAATAGATAGAATGTTTCTAGCCAGCATTTTCGTGTATGAGCAGAAAGCTGGGCAGAAAATGTATAAATCCATAACGAGAATGAGAACGAGAATGAGAACGAGAACCCTCAACAGTGTACGAGTGTACTGCAGACTACAGAAAACTATTTGCATAACAAAAGTTGTAGCCGGGAAGAGAAAAATCATTTTGCACATGAAATGAACAGCGACAAAGACGAGGCGAGGGAGGGGAGAGGGGTAGGAAATGAAAACAGAGAGGGTAAGGGGGAAGGGAATGGGGAAACTGTGCAAACTTCAAACATAAATAATGAAATTTTCCTCATGTGTATCTCTGTATCTGTGTCTGTGCCTCCTTCTGCAATTGTAGCTGTATCTGTATCTGTATCTGTAGCTGTATCTGTATCTGACTCTGTGTCTGAGTCTCTGTGTCTGCCTCCTGTCTCTTTCTGTATCTGTATCTCAGTCTGTACGTCTGTACGCTGTGTCTGTGTATGCACTTAAAGGCTTTTAATTGGCCCAAGGACACCTGAGCACAAATCCTGCCATCCGAATGACACAACAACAGACTGGAGTCCACTCGAAGTCCGACCAAAGTGCGGCCCGGATAGGGGACAATGGAGAGAGGCCGGTCTCTGCATTTCAACATGTTGCCAGATGCTGGTCGACAGAGCAACAGCATCATGCATTTTAAAGCCTTCATCGTACACTCGAAAAAATTCCGATCAATTTCAAATGGATACCGCTGTACATTGTATTTCGCTGATCGTTCTTATAGCAATAGATAGATATTATTTGTACTTCATCGGTACGATAAATATACATGTAAATAACACATATTTCTGGCTGTCTTTTGGCAACGGATCTAAAATAATTATATTTTTTGTTTTGGCGGTGTATGCAAACTTTTCGGGGCTGTCTGTCTGCCTCCCTGTCGGTCTTTGTGTGTATGTGTTTTTTTTTGTTATAGTTGAAAAGTAATTTACTTATTTACATTGGCAAATTGCTTTAGAATACTTTCGGAGCCGGCAATCCAGCAATCCCGCTTCGCTTCAGCTTCAGCTCAATTAGCCCGGCCAGCAGAATGTGGACAGACCCAGACCCCCGGCCCCCATTGAATATTCAGCTCGTGATCAAAGTAGGGGCTCGCACCGCTCCGCACAGCTACGGACAGCACCGAGGATAGCACTCACCACAATCAGCAGCACAAAGTAGATCCAATCCCAAAAGCTGTGCGCATCCTGCACGTAATACATTATGTCCGTCCAGCCCTCCAGCGAGATGACCTGCAAATCCAACAAATATTTCACCATAATTAGCGTACACATACTCACACACACAGGGATGCAATACACATAGATACTTGAACGCAGATATAAAATTGAGGTTAAATGTACGGGCGCATATCCAGGCGTTTAGCTGGCTTTTATTGTTCTCGTCACAGCCCCTGCCCCTGCCCCTGCCACTGCCCCTGCCCTGCTCTGTCCTACCATAATGCCTTGCTGCCAAGGGGCGTGCTGCGCCGTGCCGTGCCGTGCCGTGCCACAGTGTGGCATGGTCCGGGCGTGGTCAGGCGTGGACGGAGCAATTAGGATTGCCTTTTGGCCTTCTGGACCACGTCACGTATGTGTAATGTGCTGCGATACTTGTGTTCAGGAGCGCCTGGGATCGCATCGAATGGTATGGGTTTACGGATGGGGTAAACATTACCTGTTGAAATCTCCCTACAACTAAAACAAAGCCCATCCCGCATGGCTAATCTTCAGCCCACAGTTGACCCGGCCTGATCTATGTGGGGGGACCCACTTATCCTGAGTAATCCTATTTTTTTGTAGCCAAATGGTACCCTCTTCTCCAACGTAAGAGCCAAACAGTGAGCTCTAACTGGTAGCCGACTGACGTATGTGTCGTAGTCCATGCCCATTCCTATGCTATCCGGTAACCACTCAGCGCCCCTCAGCAGTTGGCAGCTTCAAAGCTTAATGTGCACTTGATTTGGAATTAATTAGATCGTTCGACCTGCATATCAATGGACTGAATCGCTCGCAGTGTGCAGTGTGCGGTGTGCGGTGTGCGCCCTCTCTAATTGGCATATCAATTAATGCCTGAAACGTGAGGGCCCCCATAATTAGCGAAAGGAAGCTGCTCGAATTCTGTGGGCTATCACGACGCATATAACTGCGAACCCAATATCACTTTCCCTCCTTTCCTGGCAATGGAAATGGGATTGGTAAAGTTTTCGCACCCTGTAAACGATGCGCTGCTATGAATACAGCAGCGAGGTCGAGGTCCCCCTTGTCCTGTCCCTGTCCCTCCCAGGATGCTTTGTTAACGCGATGCCACCATAGCGGAGTTGACACCGAATTAACATGCAACATTGTTCGTCTGCCTCGTTCCTCCTCTGGTTGCTGTTCGTATTTGTTGAACAAAGTTGAACACTAATTGGGAATCGGATGGACGGGGAAGAAGCGAGAGAGAGGAATCGTATGACAGTTCCCTAAATTTCCACTTTCTCGTGTGAGAGAGAACACGAGTCATGCATCATGTTGATAAATGTTCGCGATTGCTCAGCACTTGTTGAACAAATCATCCGCTGCTAAAGCTGATTTCGATCGCCGTGAAGACTACTCTAATGCAAAAAAAGGACCTTATGCACATTACACTCTAATTACATTACTTGTTCCTTGGGCATGAGAATGAAATAAGTGCAGTCAATCCGTAGCACTCACCAGGAATATGGCCACCCAGGCCATGCCAATGTTGTCAAACGAAATGGTGCCCTGAAAGGGATTCTCGCCGGTCTGTTTGCACGTTGTGTAATACTGGTTCCAGTTGACGCACGAGGTGTTCGTCGGCTCGTTGAAGTCGAACAGCTTGGCCTCCTCTGCGGGATGGAAAAAGGAAAGGAGAGGGAAGGGAAGCTGTGAGTATCGCTGTAATTGTGATTGCTTCTGCTGCTGAATCTGCTCCTGATGCTCCCGCTGATGGTTCTGGTTCTGGTTCGAGGGCGGGGTCTGCGTCTGCCCATCCCCCAGCTTATGCTCAACTTAAGCTCATCATTAACCTCGAGGGAGAGCAATTAAAAACGCCATCAAATTTGATTACAGCGCAATTTGCACTTCATTTAGCTTTAAAGTTAATGTAATTGAGACTGAGGGATTCCGGACTGTGTGGATTCCGGACCCCCGAAACCCCAGACTCCGGACTCCGGACACCACTTACCATTGCAGACCATGGACCCGCTGCGGTAGGGGGGAAAGTTGCCGCAGAGATGCATGCCCGAGTCGGAGGGCGTTGAGCAGATGTAGTCCTGATCCTTGGAGAATTCGTAGTACTGCGATAGGCTGCACATGTGGATAGAGAATAAGTCATGTGATGCGATTGTTAAATGAAATCGAAACATCCAGTACACACAGAAACAAAGTGTACGAAAGAGAAGATCACACGAGAGAGAGAGAGAGAGAAATTACAGAGAGAAAGATAAAGAGAGAGAGAGAGAGAGAGAGAGCACAAAAAGTACAATTAATAATCGTGGTTCATATCAAGTTCAAATAAGTTTATTCGATATGTTTATGCGTATCGTAAACATATACATCGAGATGTGGAAAAAAAGAGCGATTAATGATCGACAAATCGATAAATTTTGTATTCGCAGAAGAGAGTTTTTGTGCTTAATTTCATGGCTTGATCTGCTCACGCGTGCGACACGCAGCTACACGAGAACATTCAACTAATTAGAGTGACAGAGACGGCCAATGGGTGAAGCAAAAACTAAAGAACAGCGTAAGAGTAAGAGTGAGGGTGAGTGTGAGACAGAGAGTGTGTGAGACACGGCTGACTAATGCAAAAGTTAGACAGAGATAGCGAGTGGTAGCGATAGCGAGTGGTAGCGATAGCGAGTGGTAGCGATAGCGAGTGGTTAGCGATAGTGAGCGAGGTGAGACAAGCGCAGGTGAGACAGAAACAGAGACAGCTTTCATCGTGCGAAGCGATAAAGCGAGCGATAGAGAGAGATAGGTATAGTTCACCCACACACAAAGCGAGAGTAAGAGAGAGAGACAGAGAGTGCGTGGGAGCTAGTAGACGCTGGTGGAAGCAGGAGAGAGCGATAGAAAGCGCGAAGCGAACGAGCGGGTAAGCTTAAGCACAGTCAGCCACTGGAAAGACGACACAACTGTACCGGAAGAACAGCAGAATAAAGAGAGTGAGACACACTGAGAGAGAGAGAGAGAGAGAGAGAGATGACTCCCAAAGGCATAAAATAAAACACAAAACACAAAGCGAAAACTTAAATAAAAACCTAAAAAAAAAAAGACGAAGAGAAACTAAGAACAAAGCAACAAACTCTTGGTGCCGCGCCGGGGCAGGGGGAAAGAGACAGCAAGGCTAAGGAGGGTGGAGATGGTGGGACATAAAAAAAAGGAAATGAAAACGCCAAAGCAATTTAAATTAAACGCGCAATGTTGCCACAAAATGGCCGACGCACAACGCAGCAGCCGTCGCGGTGGCAGCCGGAGCAGGAAAAAAAAATACAAAAAAACAACAAAAAATTTCACCATCAACCGAGTGTCAACCGTATGTGTTTTTGTATGTGTGTCGCCTTGTGTGTGTGACAATAAAATGTGTTTAATATGCACGTGGAGGCACGACACTGACACTGGCAGACGACACTCCAACCAGCAGTTGGAGGAGAGTGCAGAGATAGAGGAGGGGGGGAGAGAGAGAGAGAGGCTGACACTGAGACTGTGGCATTGTGGAAGGTGAGGGGCACCGGGGGCACCGGTGGCACCGGTGACACCGCTAGTGAAATTTGAATTATTTTTGTTCTCCTTCCTCTTTCACCGTTTCTTATGTTTTCTTTACATTTTTTTTCCCATACATTTCTTTGCTAAAATCGCAACAATTCGCAGGTTTCACAGCCGTATGCTAAACTTTATGAAGTTCTTCATGTGTGGTGAGTGTGTTTGTGTGTATCTATGTGTGTCTATGCATGTACATATGTGTGTGTAATTACAGTACTTGATTTGTTGGCATGTGACAGAAAGGGAGGGAGCGAGAGCGAGAGCGAAAGGTGGAATGTTTCGGCGGGGTGTAGAGGGGCGTGGAGGGGCAGCTTTAAATACCTTTGCAATAGAAACTGATGGTTTTTCCTGTAAAAAGAGTTGAGCTTACAAAAGATACATACGCCCACACACAGACACACACACACACACACACACACACACAGGCAACGAGGAAGAGGGGCTTGCGGTAGGGGGGAATACTGTGCTGCTGCACTATTCCTATGTATCTGTGTGTTTGTGTGTGGAGCGAAACTTGTACATTCAAGAAAAAAACGAACAAATATTAATTAATTAATAATTAAGTGAATGCGAGTGTACCCCAGTGCAAAGTGAACAGCAGGAGCAGCTTTCTGAAAGGAGAGGCAATGAGAGCTCCGCAATCTACAGTGAAAACTCCTTCAAAATGCAGATGAGCGTCGCCTGGCTACTGTGAAAGTTGGAGTATACGATAGCTAAGAGTACCTTTTGTAGTATACATTTTGGGATCATCATCTTAGCAGAACGTCTCCCTTGAATGGACTGAAACACATGGTAGTCTTTGAATCTACTTAATACAGACACCTTTCACTTCTAGAGCTGTGCCATTGAACTAATAAAACTAATAGAATTAGCAGTCAAGAAATATCTTGATTTTGATACTTTTCCTTTTAATAATAATCTCGAATGGATGTGGCTATTCTTCAATGTCTCCTTGCCAAAAAAAAACCAACGAGAAATTTGAATATATTTATGAGTTTGAAAGGGCAAACTCTTAGCCAAAGCAATGTCACAGGCAGTTCTCCTGCCTTGGATCCTAAAGGTATGGTTGTTTTACTGTTTGTTTCACTGTATGTTTCAGCGGTGGTGGTGGTGCTGCTGCTGCTCCTGGGTGTCTGGGTGTCTGGGGGTCCTGCTGCAACATGTCATATTTGTGTGTCAAAAATGAAACAGAAAATTGTAAAACGAAAACGAAAATTTGGCAAACGCAACACAAGCGAAACTGAAACTGATACAGAAACACAAACAGAGTCAGAGGCTTTGGGGGTAAGGCGGTAGGGGGTAAGGGGGTAAGGGGGTCAGTTTTAGGAGAGATAGGGAGAGATTTGGCCTCAATTTTTATATAGCACTCTTATTTATGTATACATATATACTATATATCGTTGCAAGTGTGTGTTAGCTTTAGTGGAGAGTGGAGATCGGGTTCAAGTGGCGCCACATCAACATCAACATCAACTCTATGGCTCCAATAGCGGAGAGCATAGCGGCACGTTTACGGGGGTATAGTGGGAGGTGTAAAGTAGGATCTAAAGCTAAAACATACGAGTATATCGAGTGGTGTTCTACTTTAAGGATGTGTTGTTCAACCAAGGGCTAGGAATAGGACTAAGACTTGGGTCTAAGATTCTGCAGTGGTACAGTTGTGTGTGTGTGTGTGTGTGTGGGGGGGGGGGGGGGGGGGGGGGGGGGGGCTTAAGAACGTAGTGACAGGAGATACACTAAGTAGTTACGAGATACGAGAGTAGAGACAGCTATTCTGCTTGCCGAGTTGTTTAGTTGTCTAGTTTAGTTGATACGAGTATTTGGTATAGTTTGGTATATCGTATATATATACACATATATATATATTCATATATATTCAATTATTACTTATACAGAGAATTAGATGGATAGTTATAGATAAAGAGAGAGAGAGAGACAGAGTATAATCGTATTGGCAAGAGTATACTTTACTTTACTAATTATGTATTGAGTACGAGTATTTATGCACATTTACTAGGGAGAGTGTGTCGACTATCAAACGTGTGAGAGTGAGTGGGACAGAGACAGAGAAAGAGAGTCTGAGTGTTGTGGTGTAACGGTGTAACGGTGTAACGGTGTAACTGAGAAGGAGATATGTAGATCTTCGTGGATGGAGAGAGAGCAGAGATTGCTCAACCTTCATCACTGATCGGGGAACGAGAGCGAGCTTTAGCTGGGAAAAAGAGCTTTCAAAGGGGGTTCGAGAGAGCCCTGAGCAGAGGATGGCTCCATCGCCGATGCATCGGCTCAGCGCTCTCTGTCTTTGTGAGTGTGTGAGAAGATAGTGTGCGCTACGACGCCGTACAGAGAACATCGCATTAGAGGGTTTAAAGGGTTAACAGGGTTAACAGAGAGACGATTTAGAGAGGGCTATTACGGGTTAACAGGCTAAGAGCGATTATAGAAAGAGCGACAGAGTTTAGAGATTACATTTATTTTAGTACAAGTACGAGTATATAGACAGGATCTAGTATTAATAGTAGTAGTAGTAGTAGTGGTAGTAGTAGTAGTAGTAGGACACTAGTAGCAATTAGTAGACGGCTATTAGAATCTGTTTGTGTCTGGTTTCGTCTTCTTCTGTTTTGTTCTGTGTGTGGTGTACGTGTCTGGGTGTCTGGGTTTCTGTGTGTGTGTTCGTGTGGGTGTATAGTAGATATATTTGGTGTATGTGTATTTGTGTGTGTGTAGGTTAGGTTAAAAGGGGGGAAAATAAATCATTTTATCTTACGAGTTAACACGGACTCGAACTCTGTACACTTCAGGTAGTCCCCTGTAAACAAAAAATTTGTTCCCGGTATGATTTTCGTTTTTGTTTCATTTTTTACATTTCATTTTTCATCTGCATTTGCATTTTGTTTTTTTTTGATGTTGCAACGAGTATTACTACTACTATTTTTTGTTATTTTGTTTTTCTTTGTTTCTAAATTATTTTGTTTTGTTTGTTTTTTTTTTTCTTCTGTGGGATTCTGTGGTTTTCTGGTGTTTTGTCTCAACCAAAATATAAATTTAGGAAACTGAGGAAAAACTGGAAGAGAACATATATGCATATACATATATACATATACATATATATGTATATCCTGGACTATATGTATGTTCTGTTGTTTGTGGCCATTGATGCTGATCCGTCCGCTCTGGCGGGGCGCCTCAACGATTCAACGCCTCCCCGCGGACAAATCGCTGGCCTCTGTCTGTTTGCTTGTATGTGAGTGTGTGTGTGTGTGTCCATGTATGTGTGTTTGTATATGGTGGTATGGGTGTATATACAGCATGACTTCGGCGAGGGCTCTCACACACCTGGCAACATTTATTGCGAGTGGAGCCCGTGCGAATGTGGCGTGGAGGACATACGAGTACAAATGACAAAAAACACACACAACAAAATTTAAAAACGGAACGAAAAAACACGTGTGGACAAGGAGCTAAAGAATGTCTGCGAATTGCAGCTCGAAGGAGGAGAGGGGCGGCTACAAATGAAGGTTTTATAAATTACAAAATTAAGCCACACAATATTTAATTCAAATGACAATTTCCCGAGCGAGATGCCTGGCAGAAATAAAAATATCAATGAAATGAAAAATGAAATGCCAAATGCCAAATGGGAGGCCACCGCAAAATATTCTTGCAAATGGTTAGGAGTATGCTTGGCCTGTTCTTGCACACAGCTATGTGCAACAACTACGAGTACTTAGTACTGTACTTAGTGCCAACCGAGAGAGAGCCAAACGTGGGGCAGGAGCAGCACTGCAGCACTGCAGCACTGCATCAAAAATCCATTTATAAACACGTACGCATACGCATACGCATGTTTTCTCATACTCTCGTATGGTACTAGGGGGGGGGTGGGCGGAGGGTTGGTATATGGGTAAATGGATGTGTGAACAAACATTAAGTACAGCTGAGGAGAGCATGCGGAAGTAAGCAAACGAAAGAGCAAAGAAACAAACAAGGAGACAATGAAACAACGAAAACAAAGGAAAAACAGAAACAGAAACAGAAAAGAAACATAAGAGAGGCAAACGGAACGGGGAGCACAAAGCAGTACAAAACGAAATCGAAATCGGGTTTCTTGAGCTAAGCGCGCAGCGACCCAAAAATTCTGTAGTCTACTTCAAGGGGATTCGCTGTCCATGTGCGTGTGTGTGTGTGTTAGCTGCGTGTGCTGTGTGTATGCGTGGGACTGAGAAAGGAGGAGAGTGCCCTCGACTTCGATGATAAATTATTGTTTTGGCCAAGTTTCAATTCTGTTGTCAGCGGCGGTGACACAGTGCCACCGAGGCGCTCGAAAATGGTTTGAAATCTTTGAGTATCTTTGAGCACAATATTTGCAATCACCAGACTGAAGGCCCTGTTGCTCTGGCCATAACCATTAATTGTAATTTAGGATCTATATTTATTTGCCAACGAAAAAATCTTCTGTGGTAGAGTGCAGAAGAGTAGAACAGATGTCCCATCTTCCATGGTTGTTTCTTACCCAATGATCCAACCACTGTGCAGCAACGATGTTGAGCCATTGTCTATGTCCCCCTCGTGCTGTCAATGGCAGGACCGCAGAACGGATGCTTTTGGCCATCCGCATGTAGAGGGGAGGAGATGGATGGATCAGACAGACAGACAGACAGACAGACAGTGGAACTGAGAGGCGGATAACAGACGGATAGACAGACAGACAGACAGACAGACAGACAGAGAATGGAACTGAGAGGGATATACGGTGGAGAGTTCATCAAAATTGACAGGATTTCGTATGCGGATTTCAGTGGAGGGACAGTGTCTGTGATGCAATTGGCTCAGTGGGTGTGCGGGGCGGAGGGGGGGTCCATCATATCTTGTTTCCATGTGTGTCTGTGTCTGTGTGTGTGAGGAGCGTGTGCGAGAGTGTATTGGTGTGGGCTTTAAGGCAAAAGCGAAGCAAAAACCAAAACAAAAAGAGCAACAGGAGCACGAGAAAGAAGCAGTTGGAGGACTCTGCTGAAGGTCCCCTCAAATGTTGCTTAGATGATGATCTAGTAAAAATCAAAACCAAAAAAAACCAAGACACAACGAATATATATCGATATATATATACTTATGTACAGTATACGGTGTACGGTATGCATATATGTATATATAACAGATACATATGCATGTACATATGTACGAAACGGATGTTTATGATGCAGACAGAGACAAACATATGCATCCTGGAAGCCCGCCCCGCCCGAATATATCCACCGAAAACCATTACCCACACCCATATGCCCCATATGCCCCCTGTGCCCCATACCTCGTGCCCCACAATCAGAACCCCGCTGGAGTACTCACGTGATGGGATAGATCATGCCCTCGGGACAGTCCAGGGTGCACCGCTGCCTGAGGATGCCCTGCCACAGCTGGACGCCGATGATCCCGAAGATGAAGAACACAAAGAAGCAGAGCAGCAGGACATTGCCCAGCATCGGCAGCGTGTCCAGCAGCAGCATCACCAGGATCCGCATGCCTGCAACGAATCGATCGATCGATTGATTGATTGACGGACTGATGGATTGAGATGGGACTACGGCTTACTGGGAATGCGATTGATGGCCCGCAGGGGTCTCAGCACCCGGATCGTTCGAATGGCCGTCAGATTGAGGTTCTCCACATGCATCACATACTCGAGCAGGCCGGCCAGGACGATGAAGAAGTCCAGGCGATTCCACGAGTCCGCCAGATAGGTGTTCTTGCCACACATGCCCATGGCCACCATTTTGATGGTCATCTCCAGGGCAAAGAAGGCAAAGATTATGTCATCGAAGATCTATCCACGGAGAAACATATAGAAAATGAGATGAGATCGCAGGTGGAACAATAAATGCACATGGGAATGAGTATATTCTGGCTCTTATTCCCCTTTTCATCCAACTAAATTAAGCATAGGTTTTGCCTTTGGCCCATTTGTATTTTGGGGGACTTCCTTGAGCACACACCACAACACAAAATTCGATTAAAGACCTAACGAACTAACGAGAGTTGATCAAATTAAAATTAGCTGCCAGCCACTAACGACTATGGGGGAGTCTCTCTCTCTCTCTCTCTCTCTCTCTCCCCTCAAATGATGATGCTCCACATGCTCCACCTGCTTTTGATGACATCAAGGAGGCAAGGACATCCACATCCCCCTCACATCACATCGCATCGCATCGCATCAGAGGAGGCGTCACATATATGGACACGAAATGAGTTTGCCTTGGCGACATCATCGTCATCTTTTTCTTCCCTTCTTCTGCTCTTCCCTGCTATGGTCTTGGCCCTTGCTTTTCTGTACTTCCACTTCTCCTTCAACTTATTCCCAGCTATTTGGGCGGTCCTCTTGGGGCGGGTGTCGAGGGGGCGAGGCGCCCACTTATGTCACCGTGTGGCTGTCGTTGTCATTTTGACTTTGTCCTGTGTGCCAATTTGGCGATGCCTTGTCTTCTCCTCGTGCACCCCAACCCCAACCCCATGTCGGCGCTCTGTCTTGCCTTTTTCCTTTGTCCTTATGCGGGCATGGTGTCCCGGGTCCCGGGTCCTGGTTGAGGTCCTGCTCGTGTCGCTTTACACTTGGCTGCGGCCAAAATGTCGCCATGGCTTACATATCATTTACAGACATTTTCGCACGTTGCGCTCTCTCAACATTTTCCCTACGCTCTGTAATTGCCTGACACTCCCCATCGCCCTGCCACAGCCCCCACTTAGTGGAACCCCCTGCCGTGAGGTGGGTGCTGTGCTGTCTAATGAGCCGAAGTGCCTCGTTTGATGTCATCAGCCAGCAGGCAGGCAGTGAGAGCAGTCAGGCATTCTGTCGTTCCGTCAGGAAGTGAGCCAAAAAATTGCCTAAATAAATGGCATTTAATGTGACACCAATGCTGACAGGATAATAGGCGAAGAGCAACAAACTTGGGAGTGTGGGCACAGCTTGGAGAGGGGCTACTCACCTGCAGTATCTTGCAGCGATTCGTGACACAGGCATCGTCCACGCACGGCTGGTACATGCCCAGGGTGATGCAGTTGAGCAGGATCACCAGAATGGAGACGCGCTCGAACCACGTGCGGGGGTCCCATTCGATGCAAAAGATGCCGATTCAGTTAAGGGGGAAACCAACACAATACATGGCAAAGCAGCAGGTCCTTCAGAATAGTTTCGGGGATACGAATACCAATACGAAACAGGAGTGGAGTGGGGGCTGGGGGTGGGGGTGGGGGTGGGGGTGGGGGTGGGGCGAGTGTGCAGTGGAGCAGACGAAGGAGGAGCCAGCAGGCAGTGACAGTGTATAACAACTTGCAGTCGCCTCTAATGCGCACTCAAGTGCTTGTCAACTTGGCTGCATTTGGTCCTCCAGTCCTCCTCCAGCACCACCACGCGCCCCCTCCACATTCCCCATCCCTACCACATCGTTGCGGTTTGTCGCTTGTCGGTCCCTCGTTTGGCATGGTTTCGGTTGCGGTTATACCCCTCACAAGTGCCCCCAATGGGGTATACTCCATCCAAAGCCAGAGGGCATATGTCCTGCTATATAGCCTATTCGAGGGATACGTTTCTTTATACGAGTCGCGTGTCATGCAGCAGCGCCACTCGGACCACTCTTTAGTTTCGTGTCGCTTGGCTCCCTTGCACCAAATCCTGTCATCTCTCGATCTATCCCAACAAAAAAAGATGAAAATATCCTGCTGCGGCATCCAGAATTTTGAAGAGCTCGCATGTTTTATTGCAGCAGAGAAGCTATCGAATACGATTAAGGGGTATCTTGGAGCCGAAGTATCGTTATAGCTTGGCTGTGGACGAGTGCGTTGGACTTCTTACTGGCACGCTGGCTGGCCGACAAGCCAGTCATTCAATCATTTCCCACAAGCCACTCGATTCGATCACGTTCTGGCCCGCTGCTCGATTCGCAGTTCTGAGGGCAGGACCCGAGATAGAGAAAGATAGGGGGCGCCCACCCAAGGCCATGGCCGTGAGCCGTGAGGGATGCAATGTGATGCTGCATTCCACCTGATGCAGGACCCTCAGCTGCCACTTGTCGTCTAAAAGCATGCTGCCACACTTGGATTGGGTAAACACTCGCCACCGCCACCGCCACCGCCACCGCCACCTCACCTAAGGACACACACACACACATCCCCATACAGATCCAAATACACAGGGCCAGGGCCAGGACCAATCCCAAGCCCAAGCCCAGTCCCAGGCAGGCTTAATGCATTGCCAAATGAGCGCCAAGGACTCATTCTTTCTGTCCCTACACTATACTCGCAGAAAGGAGATGGTGATGGGGATGCGGATGGGCGTGTGGAATGGGGCGACGCAATTAAGGAGCGAACACACATGCTGGGAAAATGGCAAAAATGTTTACGCTATTAACGCACAATTAAAGATAAAACGTGCAGCGGCACAATGGGGGGGAGCTGCGTGCAGGAGGGGCATGCAACAGCAACAGCAGCAGTTAAGGCCCCAACAAAAAAGCGGACAATTCATTAGGAGCCACAGTGTGTGCGGTGCGGTGCGGTGCGAGAGACCAGCGGACAGCATCGGGCAGCAATACGTGTGTGCATGCAGGCCAGACCCGGGTCAGACCCGGGTCGGGGTCAGATTTGGGGGGTGGGGGGGTTTTTTCATATAAAAACAAATGTGAAAAGCGCAGACAAAGGCCGAATGTGGGCAGAGCTGGAGGGAAAGCAGGTGGCCCTACGTACGAGTATAAATATTGCAGCAGCAAAACCCATGCGACAACAGCGACAGAGGCAACATCGACCCTGTCGATGGTTTCATTTCAATCCGACAGAGTGGTGGTGGGGCGGAGAGGCCGGAGAGGCCGGAGAGGCCGGAGAGGCGGCCCAGCAGAGGTCAAAAAATGGGGCGTTGCAAGGGGAGGCGTGTGGAGTGGGGTCTGTAGAGGGACTCTCGGGTATGCGCGCATTATTTTTGATTTGGCAACAGCGATGGCCCCCAAACCAACAGTAAACAAATTAAGTCGAGCGTAAACTCGGCCAACAGGAGGGAGGGGAGGGGCGGGGAGGCAGCAGCATGGCAGGCAGTGTGGCAAGGAGGCACGGGCACGGGCACGGGGGCATCGCAAGGACGCATGCAAGCGTGCAGAAATCGCAACAAATTAAAAGACCCACAAACAAAAGCAGCGGCAGCAGCAGAACCCTCAATGAAACCCCAAATTCAGGAGCAAAAGCCATGGAAGATGACTGAACAGCGGATCGAGGATGAGGATTTCTGAATACACGAAAGAGAAACGCAATGAAAGCGAATGGGGAAACGGCAAATCGCAAATGGCCTGGAGAGGTGCAAACCGCAATGTGCAAAAGCGAATAAAAAAAACATAAAAAAAAGCAAAGGGCAAAGGAAAGGGAAAAGCGTACCAAGAACCAAGAGCCAAGAAAATGAAAGAGAAAAAGAAAAAAAACTGAAAAATACTTGAAATACTCGTAAATTGGCCTGACAGCGGCCCAAAAGTTTGCCCAATGAAAGCGATCAATTTAATTGGTTTTATGCGATGATATCAAGCGAAAGTAAAGCCCCCCATCGATGGAGCCCGGCACTGCCGTTGCCACGAGACCGATTCCCAATGGAAATCGATGAAGTAGCCACAAATACCTTAACAACTTGAGAAATTATGTAATGAGTAGAGTGAGGGCTTTTATAGTGGATTAGCATAGGCAGATGCAGAGGTATGATGCAGTTTCCTAATTGATTCCACAGCATGAATGAGGTCCAAGTGCGAGTCCATCGGTGGGGCCCGTGCCATGGCTCACCCATTTGTGGCTTGCCGCAGGCTTGCCTCTGAAGGTTGAGGCATTTTGGGGGGGAATTTTGGTGGACTACAGTCCACGTACTGCCCCTTGTGCATGTCATAATTAGTTATGGGCGTGGCAGTGGCGGTTTCACATTACCCCATTGTCAGGACCGGCTCGCAGGCACACTCCATGCTAATGAGATCTGCGTGTCCGCGCTTGCTTCCGTGTCCATGTCCGCGTCTGCGTTCGGCGTTCGGCGTTCGGTGTCCGTCGTGTGGTCCTAATGGCGACCGCATAGGGATGCAGCCAGATGCTGATGACTCCACTCAGTACCCAGTACCAGCAGCAGTGCAGTATGTTTCCCCAGAGTGGCCTCGCATGCAACGCTGCACGTGCCCCCCCCTCCACACACCCCACACACAGACACACACATTTCACGCTAAAAGCACCGTAAAATGTCGAAAGTGGAAACTTCGCAGGGAGCTGCCACTGCCACTGCCACTGCCCCACAGGCTGCTCGAATGATATGTGGCCAAGTCGTCTCCTCTCGTCGTTGGCTAATTTGGGGGAATAGCTGACGAGCTGCGGAATTGGGGAGTTGGCGACTTGAAGAGGCAGCACCAAGGCCGAGTTGTCTCGTATTTGATTACACTTTCAGGAGGGTAGACGCCAGGTCTGAAGGGAAGCTCGGTGTCGGTGTCGGTGTCGCTATCGATACGCAAGGCCACTCGGCAGGCGACACTCAGACGGCTTTAACTTTTTGGCAAATGTCTGAGCACCGCTGGGCCACACCGCTCCACCGAGCTCCACCGAGCTCTGAGCTCTGACCTCAGGCTGCAACTTGGCCGTAGACGGATCCAAGGCGAATGTCGCCAGCGGCCACGAGGAAGGAAGGAAGCAACTAAAAGTTGAACTTAAATTAGTTTAGCCAAAGCATTTTGATTACTTGCCCGTCAATTGAAATGCAAGCAGGAAAAGTTGGAAAATAGATTTTGCCATCGCAATCGAATGCTGCAACCGATTAAGAATAAGTGCCGCTCGGGGAGCGGAGGATCCCTGTCTCTGCGGCTGTGTCTCAGACATCCAAGGCATCGTAAACTTTGACAGCAGCCCCAGCGACAATAAAATCCATAAAATGTCAGCGGGATATAGAAGAGAATACTTTGAACAATGGATACAGGATACAAGAGGAGACAGGAGGGACAGAGGAGCGAGGAAATGCGCAAACAATGGCAAAAATCAAAATTTATGGCAAACAATTAAGTGGCAAGCGTCGAGAGGGCGATTATACTTATACGAGTACTTCTGCAAATGGGGACGGGGACAAGAGCAATCGCCAGGAAAAGATGACGGGGGGCATATCAAGTGGATAATCGAAGCCATCAACGTTTGCCGGATGCCTAAAATATCTCCTCAGGAGAATGACTCTGCCGCCTAAACTCAATTATCATAATTTACTGACACCCACCTGGACCCCCCCCCCCCCCCCCCCCCTCGCGCAGAAGGCAACTCCTGCCACACGGTTCCGTGGCGACGTCCTTCAAGGCGTGTGTGTCATGGCTCCAGTATAAATAAATATCAACGTCAGTCAATTTTAATTTCGCTCGAAATGAAATGTGAAGTGCGCACAGCAACGGGAGGGAAAGCGATATGCAAAGCGATTTTTCATGCACACACATATGCGGCATGGGGCACAAGCAGCAGCAGCAGCAGCATCTTCCGCCAGGACATCGTGCCATATATGTTTCTATAGGAATCGGCCATGGGCATGGGCATGGGCATGGGCATGGGCATGGGCATGGGCATGCCACCGATTGGCGCACTTTATCCACGGAAAATGGATGAAGAGCGGAAAATGAAAACAGCTCAACAACAAGAGCACATCGCAGAACGGCTCGTGGAACGGAAGAAGCCGCTGGGACCGGGACAAGTCCACCCATGATGAATCCCATACAGATATATATTATTTATGCGCACACTGCTGCGAAAACCAATTTAAATTTCCCCAAACCAAAATGTGAATACTCTTCGGTCCCAATCGATAGCCACACTGATGAGTCCCTACCATCTTTGGTTTACTTTTGAGTCCTATTGCAGAATACAAGTCCAAAGAGAAAGCTGCCAAAGGCTATACAATGTTTCATGAGGCATCAAAGAGCTGTTCTGATGCCCCATAGATATAGGGACGTTTGCACTACTTGACTGAGTCCATCCCCAGAATCCAACAACAATATACACAGTCTTTACCGAATTCGGTCCAAATAATTGAACAACAAAATACCCAGTCTTCGATGTCGGTCCAAAGTCGGTCCCAAGAAAGCAAAACAAAAATATACGCGGCACACCGAATAGCAGCTACTTATTGGACATCGATACTACGCAGTCGGAATGTTTTCAATCGAGCCACCCGTACCTCGACATCTAGACACTCCGCACGGACTGAGAGGCATGGCTCGTCAAATCTACTGATCAAATGATGCTTCGTTTCTGCTTCTTCGTTTCTGGCGTTCCCTTACATTTATAGGAATTCAATCAAGATATAGGAATATACTCGAGTATATGGAATTCTATTTCAAAAGAGTAACAGTGGCTCTCGTGTGTGTCCTTAGGCCTAGGCAAAACAGAGAAGTTTGCCACAAAAAAAGAAGTGAAAAATCAATAGGCTCACAGCACATCCTGTGAAATCTGTGGCAAGGACACTGCAGACGCAGACACACGGCACCCAGGGGTAAAACGCCAGCGAAGGACAATGGCAATTAGAGTTGCCATCCCATCCCATCGCCCGCCCAACCCCAACCCCAACCCGAACCCCAACCCGAACCCACCCCATCCGTATGAAGGGATAGGGACGTACATCTACGGGTGTTGTGTTTTGTTTGTGCAAAAAGGATATGGATTGGTGATGAGCATAAGGCACCAGTTGCGTGGCCGCGTGTACTGCGTGAGGGCCTTCATGGATATCTCGGGGAAGCCGGGATACGGCAGATTCGGCTCGCCTGAGGAGCTGGACGAGGATGAGGACGATGTGTGCGAGGAGTCGCCGTCGTCGGAGCTGCAGCTGCCATTGCAGCTGGATGCTGTCGAAGAGCTGATGGCCCCCGATCTCGCCTCACGTCGATGGCGCCCGCGGCCGGCAGTACTGGCCACCGCATCGCTCAGCGAGGAGGCCCCACTATGGCGTCGTCCGGCCCGGCGGCGTGGCATCTGCTCCTGCCGTTCCTGTCGGTCCTGTCGGTCGTGTCGGTCCTGTCGCTCCTGGCAATCTGGGCGGTCCTGTCGCTCCTGGCGATCTGGGCGGTCCTGTCGTTCCTGACGGTCCTGTCGGTCCTGTCGGTCCTGGCGATCGTGTCGCTCCGACTTGCCCGGATAGCGACGCCTCCTCGAATCGGTACTGGCGGTCGCGGAGGCGTTCGATGGTTGTCGATGTGCGCGTTGCATGGTGCCAGCTGTCGCTGTCGCCGCAGGTACTGGTATCGCAGCCTTGGCACTGGAGGAACTCGTTTTCCGCAACCTCTGGCTGCCGCTGCGAGGCATCTTCTGCTGTTGCTGTTGCTGTTGCTGCTGCTGCTGCTGCTGCTGTCCGCTGCCTCCTCCTCCTCCTCCATCGACGATCACCGTCATGGGCGGCTCTTCGTTGGAATGCATTTGATTTAATCTATTGCTGGTGTTATTGTTGAGCTTCGTGTCGTTGTTGCAGCCGTCTGTTGCTGCTGCCACGCGACGTCGCTGGCCATTCCCACACGGAATGTTGCTCCCGACTGTTGCCGTTACTCTTGCTGTTGCAGTTGCTGCGGATCCTGGTGCTGCTTCTGCTGTCTGAAGTGCTGCTTCTGCTGCTGCTGCTGATTGTGGCAGCATTCGCTTCTGGCTATGCAACGTCGTGGCCACCGGCGGCAGTGCGGGTCATTCCATTTTGCGGCTGATCCCTGAAAACGAGACAAAAAACAAAGAGAGAGAAAGGAGAAAATGCTATTAGTCGAGTCATTAAAATCCAATATAAAATTATGCCGCTGCTGCTGTGGCTGTGCCACTCGGCAACGTAGCCGTAGCCACCGCCTTGAATTGATTTTTAATGCGCGCACCGCCCTGCCCTGCCTGTCTCCTCTGGCCACATAATGAAGCCAAAAACATAATTTATACGCACGTGCGTACCTCTCCCACACTCACTGTACACACGTTCTTTGGGGGTGGGTGTGGGTGTGGGTGTGGGTGGTGCGGGAAGTGCGTAAAAATAATGAGCAGCATATTTTGCGTTCACAGACAAGAAGTGTAGCATACATTTGGGCGCCGAGAAAGAGCCAGGAAGAGAAAGAGAAAGGGAGAGTGGGTGGGTGTAGGTGTAGGTATATGTTCAATCATTAATTACGCCTCGTACGTGTATGTGTGTCCATCTGTGAGGCTGAGCCTAAAGCACATTAACGTGCCCAAAAGTGCTTCGTTGTGGTTTTAAGCACACACACACACACACACCATGGAAAGATGGTGGAAATGGGGGAAAATTGTGTGAAAATTGGTTTATTGATAGGCTCAGCAAACACACAAGAGAAAATCGCCAAGGAATTGTGTTAGCCACAAAAGCACAAAGGAACTCCATTGAAGTTATTGAGATATTTGAAATATTTCTTTGAGATATTTGCCGGAGTTCCCCATAGAATCGATTGTAGGGCCGAACAGTTCAATCATACAATTGATCAGTTGAATCGATTCATAATTGTAACGTCGTTACGCTGCATAAAAATATTGATCCAAGTGGAAGGGAAGTCGGTTGAGCGATTCATTCCGTTCCATTCATTTGCATTATGAATAGCTTTCAGCTCTGGACCACAACCTATTAACAATCGTTCAGTACGAGTCCGTAATCCAGCATAAGCCTATGAATTTATAAGCCCATCTCGAAGTGCACTCAATAAATGAGCCTATCGTCTATCGATAACTGCCCATCAATCTTCATGCTTCATCGGAAGGCCTATTATTTATGGCAACTGCCAATAAGCCCCGGCCAGGACACGTGTCGTGTGTCTGTCCCCTGCTTGTGTCCTCGTCCTCCTTCTCCTTCCCATTCCCCTGCTCGTAGGTGGACCGTAGTCTAGAAATCAAAATAATTAATCGTTGGCTGGCGCCATTTGTTTATCGGGCGGAAGCGGAAGTGGAAGCGGAAGTCAGCGCCAAGCCAAACAATGGACACACACACACGCACGCACAGACACGTGCGATAGTGTGACAATACAAAAGTTTCGATATGCTTTGGAAAATGTTAAACAAACCCAAGGGCCTAGGGCTGGGGACTCGGGGGGTTCCTGGGTTACGGATACAAAAACTACATGAAATTCAAGTCACAATCCGAAATGTAAGCGTCTTGTACAACACAGCACATGGCAGCCATGTAAACACACACCCCCATACACTCTCTATATATATATATATATATATATATATAGTACATACATAATTAAACGCAAACAGAGAGTGAGGGGAGGAAAGGAAAGGAAAGGAGGTGTGGGTTTTGGGGTTAGGAGTTGATTCTGCGGTTTCGGTGTGCGTTTGTCCCCCGAAATGGGATCAATGCGACACTCAAATGTGTCACAATATTAATTCGATAACAATTTGAAATGGGTCAAACAAAAACTGGGAGAATAATACGACAAATGTGTTTAATAAAGCGATTTTTGAGTGGAAACACTGTTGATCACGATAATCTGTGGACAATAAACATGAAAGATTACACACCAAATGATGCAGATGCACTAGATATTGTGCATTCCGTTCACTTAATGGAACTTGCACTCACGTATCTTTATTACAGAGAGAGGGAGATAGTGCGCTGCAATGCCGGCATCTATAGGATTCTATGAACCACTGAGAACAAACTGTATATATGTGCATACTATGTGTCTACTGCCAGTATCTGTAGTATTATTGAACAAATCTTGGAGCTATAATTGAGAAAGCAATGCAAAAGCGTCGATCTGCCGCCTCATACTTGGCTGTCACTTCCTTAATCCCTTCTTAACCAAGCTGTTTCTTCTGAATAGATGTATTAGTTCTTACAATTTTGCTTCTGCTGTGGGGTTAATGTAAACAGCCAGCAGAAAAACTCACTCATCCCTAACGTCTGCCCATATCCTTCTCGTGGAAATATGCAAATAAATTGTCGCTTATGTGGCAAGATGTTTGCACAATTCTCCCCTGCCTCCCGTCTCCCGCCTACCGCCTCCCGCCTCCCGCCTACCGCCTCACGGCTCCCACTCGCGTTGGCTGTCTGTTTACTGTCTGACTGGGGAATCTGCAGATATATAATTCACTTTTAAATGCAAAATCAAGCCGCTGTCATTGATAGGAAGGGATGTATGGCAAAAAATAAGCATACGCAGCGTTGTACACGCTGGCAAATAAATCAGAGACAGCGCCTCAGTGTCGCCAAACGCCAAATGGAGAGATCCCTTTTTGCGGCGAGGCCCTATCTGAAGATTAATGGGAGACATTCATCCCCTACTAGTACTGTTGGGCACAGGCAGTAGCTGTAGCCCCATGCCATGTCCAATGGCCTCTTTTGGCCCCCATTTCGATTGCCATAACATTTGGCAAAAATGTTCAATGGTACGAGGCCTCGCGAGGTAGGCCGCTCTTCTCGTGCAATTCCCTCGTTCCCTCTGGGTCCAGGGTCCAGGGTCCAGGGTCCAGGGTCCTGTATTTAACATTAATATTTATGATTGCTCATCTGTGTATAAATCGATGCCTCCTCTCTCGCACTGTGTGGGCCTCGGCCCCTGTCTGTTTCTGTCTGTTTGACTTTCTCCGTGTGGATTCTCTGGTGGCTTTCATTGCTTGCTTATTGCGCTGATTTTATTATTATTTTTATTTGGCTTGGCTTGGCTTGGATTGGCGCACGAAAAGCCCAAAGAAAGGCAAAAAGAAAACTCATTTTCATGTTCAGCAGCTGCCAGAGACAGTCGTCGTCTTCACCTGCTCGGGGCCCAGGCCAAGCCCAGGCCCAGGGCCAGTCCCGGGCGAAACGAAACGAAAGGAAAGTAAAGGAATCGAAAGTTTTTCGTGTTTCCATTTCATTTTCCAATTTGATTTGCCTCCATCTCTGTCGCTCCAGCAGCCATTCAAACTGATTTTCCTCCGCTTTTTCCGCTCTTTCCGCTCATCCGCTTCTCATTTCGCCATTTGTTGCTTTTCAGCTTCATTGAGCGCATTTGTTGCTCTCCGTCCTCGCTTTATTCCTCTTCATCGGGCCTCTTTATGGCTGTTCTTCCACCTTTTTATTTTGTTTTGATTGCCAGTGCGGGGGATTTGAGCTTAACTTCTGCCCCACTGCCTCCCTGGCTCCACACGCACTCGCACTCGCACCACACAGTCGACAGTCCACACAGTCTCGGCGGTCCTTATTATCGTTTTAAATACACGGGCATAAAATTCATATTTTTATGCATCGCTTTTTATTGGCCCATTCATGGCAGCCACAACCAGGCTGAGGCAGAGACTGAGACGGAGACGGAGACCCAATCCACAAAGCCGGCGAGATGTAGCCACCTTGCAAGTCGGTTGAGCACATCCGTAAATTTGCCCGTAAAAGATCCAAAGTATCCTTTCTGCATCCGCAATACGTATCCGCGCATCCGCATCCGCCAGTCCTCCGTGCGTATGTGTATTTCTGTATCGATATTCTTTCTTTCTTTTTGTTCTGTTCATTCTGGCTGCAATTCAATAAATTTTGTATCTCTTTTTCTTAGGTAATACGCCTAATGGAATCTATTGCCACCGGTCTGCGTGTGTGTGTGCGTGTGTGTGTGTGTGTGTGTGGCACGACTTATTCATTATTCGATATATATTCAGCGGTGAATGAATGCACGTCTCGAGTATTGGACGGAGGATGCCAGAGGCAGCGACTGGCGTCAGAGCAATTCAATTTGGTAATGGAAATCATAATCGATTCAATCGATTTGTTGTCTCCGTTATCGTACCGAAGAGAGCGCTCTCTCTGGCCCTATTCATTATAGAAAGACTGTATAATCCACTTCCTATTGCTATAACTCCATCGATGGAATTGATTTTAGGAAACAGACTTGTTGATTGTTGCACAGCTATCGATAAGTAATCGAAAGCAAGTGGTATTTAATAGGTAAAATATATGTTTATTTGAGAATGAAACCTGAGACCTGAGACCTGAGACCTGCTTTCTTACATAAGTATTGTATATTAATAAAATGTCTGCTCTTGAAGTGCTCTAATCGAATCGATATCTGAATCGAATTACTTGTATTGCATTCGCTTAACGATTGCCAGAGCGATTCAATTTAATTATTTATTGACTTACAAATTGCATTACATGTTCAACTTTTTTCATTTTAATTGACTTTTAACCTGGGCTCCCCCCACACACTCCCCTCCGCAAGACATACCACAGGCGATGGGGCATCACCCGCAGAACTGCAGCAATGCATTGCAATCTTTTCAGTTTCACTTTCACAACTCCCCTGCCCCTCCCACCGCCCAGCTTCAAGGCCCCCCGGTGCCGTGTCGTTCCGCCCTCTTTCGACACGTTCAATCAACGTTGGCGGCGCTTTTAAGTAATGAGAACACCGCTGCCTTCATCTTCGCCCCTTGGCAGCGGCATCTGTTAAATAATACAAGCGGAAGAAGGAAAATGAATGAAAACGGTGGGCCAGAGCCAGAGCCAAAGCCAAAGACAGGTAAAAGCTGACAGCTTGCCAAAGGAAAGCGTG